CTCCCCGACTACAACAACAGCCACATGTACTCCAATTACCAGCCTCATTCGCCCTATGCGCAACCTAGCCAGGGCATTCCTTACCAATGTATGTCGCAAAGACAGAGGGTGGCTTAGTTGATGAACTAACCAGGCTTAGCAAACGGAGCTCAACCCCCAAGCCACTAAGGCAGATGGTCAAGCAAGGACCAGGGTTCTAGAGGAGGAAAGTCATCAAAAGTCAGGATGGAAAAAGGAATACCCGCTGTACTATATTGAACTGCTGTGTTGTCCTTGATCCCCACGTCAATGTCGACCTGATGTGGTGGTTGGGCGGCGCGATGGATTTTGGGACGATGGAACGCCGCTGTGCGATTTCTCGACCCGGTAATTACCTCTCTATTTCGACTATGGCAACCTCTTTGGTCGGCACTCTACCTTCCACGGGGTTTCCAGCATATACGTTCAGTCGCTGGACCGCTTTGCTTCTTGGTTTTGGTTTTGGAGTTTACGCATATACGCTCTTCGACAAGATGTTGGGTTGGGGAGTTACCGATTTCTATTTATGAGCATCAGGTTGCTGGTCAAGGGACGGTCCTGGAGGTTCGGCGTGGTTTATCTGCATTTGAGACGATTTGTTATGTTTTGGTGGCATGGCTGATTCCTAGCTGACACGGCAGTGCAGCGGTAGAGCTCGATGCCCGCGCTTTTTTCTTTTCACATTTATTGCGCAATGATCGCAGAGACGGGGACGAAGATTTTTTTATTCATATGGCGGCGGCTCTAGTCCGCCTGGCGATGTTGATGCGCTCAAGAGGTTGATGAGCGAGACAGATAGACGCATACGGATGGTACTTTATGATTATATGGCGGCTAGATTTTGTGATTTGCATGTATAATCGCACTTTGAGAATCACACTGGTCAAACAAATCTATACTTGTGCAATGCACGTCGTTCTGGAATGTTTAGTGATTGAATGCTCGTGAAGAAGCAACGTAACAGACGGCTTCGTATGGCTTGCAAGTCAGAAACTGGAGTCAAGCAATGATGCTCTAGGAACAAGACGGCATACGAGACTTCGTTTTCAAGATTTAGTGAACCAATCTGTCGGGTCAAAATCAGCCTTATCTTGATTTACTGAGAGGAGGCGAAATCGATCGCAACACATGGGAAATGATGCTTAAACCTGGTTAAACGTGGGTGGCGTGCCGCAGGTAGGGTTGTGTTGCGCATTGCAGTAAACCGACGGGGTGGTTGTGTTGCTGTGTTACAAACGCTAAGCCGATGAGAACTATAGTACTGTACAGTACTGCACCTAGGCAAGGCAAGGCAAGGCAAGGTAGGCAGTCAAGGGTGTGAATAACAAAAGGACCCAAAAAGCAAGGATGGTAGATAGGTGATGGTGGTGATGGACAAGGCAGAGGGTAAAGAAAGGAAAGGTCGCGTAACACAAGGCCACAGAAGAGGCCTGACGTACATGTATAGTGCACCTTAGCTTAGCAAGGGGAATGAAATGAGAAGTGGTCTGATCTTTTTTCTCTTTGTGTTGTTTGGTCTTTCCAAGCAACGCCAAGTGGAGGGGGCGATGTAGTGAGAGAGGAAGAGGAGGAGGTAGAGATCGATCTATAAGATTGCCGAACGATGACGGGTGAGTGGTGTGTGCGTTATGCGAGTTGGTGATGTTATATGCGATGCTATGCTATGCGATGCCATACTACTATATGCCATGCGGTGCGGTGCGGTGCGGACCGATCCATCATGGATGGCAACACAGTAGACGAGAACTTAGAAAGTGATCTGCAACTGGGATGGTGAGAAAGATAGGGGTGAGGAGTCATGAGAAGCGATGGAAATGTAGTAGGTGGTATTCTACAGCGTTGTTGTTGGACGTGCATGCGCATATACCCGTGGATAAATCTGTTTGTTTATATGATAGACTTATCTGTGATATAGACAAGGGCATGTAAAGTTGATCAACTCGGCAGGCAGTATAAAGACATGGCAACTCAAATGAATATCTACTTGATCTGAAGATGCGAAAAATAAACAACCCGCCCGTATCTCGAGTAATATCATATCGTCAGTGCTTGCTTACATACATTATCCGCACAGCCTTACGATATAAACATGCCGCGCTTGTATTGCATTGCATGCAGATTAGCTGTACACGCCCCCCTTGCTTAGTCGTTTCTTTGAATGAGACGTTACAGTAGAAAATACTAGGAACTAGAACTAGTAGTAGCTTGAGCCTCGCGAGAGAAACAAAAAAAACGCAACTAGGGGGAAGGGTGGGCAGAAAAGCGAACCAACTAACGTCTAAGTCCAACTACCAAGGCTCAGCTCAACGTAGCAAGGCGAAGGAAAACGTGCGTAGCGTGCAGACGAGCGAGCGAGCGAAAGATGATAAGTGTGTGTGTGACTGACGCCGTTGCGAGTGAACAAGGGGGTGACCTTGCGGCGCTAGGAGAATTTAGCCGCTTCTCTATTAAAACATGGTAGTCCAACGAAACTAACATCTACTACATAAAGCAAGGAAAAGGTAACACGAGACACAAGACATACAAGACAAGACAAGACATACGCCATCTGCTACCTAGTTTTATTCAAAGGTGTTTCTGTACTTGTACTCCCAAAAACTCTGGTGAAGAAACTCTTTCTTACCTGGTTCTATTTTGTGTTGTATATACACTGTCTACACCCCTCATAGCTGGTACTTGAACAGTAACCTTGGTACCTTGAACGGTTATGGCTTTTATGAACCTCTCTGTCGGGTCTGGGATACAGCCTGTAATTCGCCCAAGGCGTACCAACTTTCTGACTGAGACGGGTGTGAAAGACCACAAAGTCCGGATAGAAATTGATGTGATACAAAGACAAGTCAAGTCTTTGAGCGGATTGTCTCTGTGCTTGGTGTATGACAGCAGTATATAGGGGTGTAGTGTCACAAACATGAGCTGACTTTGGGGTACACAATTGTTTGACAGGTAGATACGAATTGTGCAACAATAGTCTACTACATATGCTTTGGTCCACGTATTGTTCTGCGTGGAGCTTGCAATCCATTACATGGAAGTCAATGCTTGACGTGGTCGGGAATGAATCATGGATTAAGTGAAGCGAGCACTGCAAAGGCCAGCATGTACTCGACCGCTCTATGAATCTCGCTTACCGAGTTCGCCCACGGCGGCGATTTACAGACGAAGTCTGACGCGAAGCATGGTTCGTCAAGGGAAACTTTACAATGCAAAATGTCGTCAGATCCTCAATTCGGGATAAGAATGCCCCGCCCCTTGCGAATGTTTCTTTTGGCTTTACTTCAGAACCCTTTGTGGCATATTAAATGAGCGCTGGGGCCTCTTAGTCACCCGGTCCCTATATCGTAAACTCATCATAAAGTTGTACAAGCCTACAAAGACTCATCTAAGTTTAGGCCCTTATCGCATATCAATCTGATCTAATTACAACAAGATATATGTCCAGAATACCAAGTCAACTTCTGTTGATATATGTACAAGTTTTGGAGTAGAAGCCTAGATGGCCCTCGCTGAAGATGCATCCTAACGGCACAGCTCGCCAATGCCTTGGCGAGAGCCGTCAACACACGAGCACTGTTAACACCTGGTGTTGAAACCAAACATAGAAGAAGAGATTCAGTAACCATCTTTGTTTGGCGCTGCAGCAAGAGATCCTCCGACCACGGACTGTTGGGTCCTAACACTGACCATCTCAGATACCTACTTGCAGTCACAGCCTGGCAGCCTTACACGAAGAGAAACAAGTATAAGATAACATAGTGCGTGTAAGACTGAAAATTCAGTTCTTTATTGGAAGCGAAAGTAAGCGGTCGCTTCTGGTCATTGTGATAGAAGCTATGAAGACTCGAGTTAGATTTCGGGTTTAGGAGAGTGAGTCTGAGTTTGTCATGGCCGTACTGAGAGTCAACGTCTGGGAACAGCACGCTCAGGCAGGTGAAGAATACTAGGGAAAACAACTGATAGAAGTTCGTGGAGGCAGATTTGCCGGTAGCCTTTCGTTGTAAATCATATGTAGGTCCAGTACCTTATTGGAGCAATGAGCAACTTTGACCGTTGACACACAACGGCCAAACATAGTACTGTACCGATTGAGGCTTGTATATACGCAATTCGAAACCGCCAATATGCAGCCAGGATTACAATTGTTGTTTTGCATGGGCAATAACCTAATCTACATATCCTGCCGACCAGAGACCGAATACGCAGCGTATAGGAGCTGCCGAAGTTAAGAATATCCATGATTCCGAGACTCGGAGGAGTGTGCATTTTTGTTACTTCGATCATTATTTACGAGAGATAGAGTTAACTTCAACTATTTCGATAAACGAATGAGTCAACTGAAAAGTACAAAGCTGATACAGACACTGGCATAGGCAAACTGGTTATCAATGACCAAGTCACGTTATCTCGGTATATCGTGATCTGCCGGTGCTTAAGATTTGCTTACTCCTATTAGACCCGAGAGATATATTAATGATACAAATCGACGATGTTGCATTCACTGGAATTGTTTCCTTGATCTCTCTGTCTCAGAACGTCATTTGGCGCTTTTCTATGCCCTTCTGTTGATGACGTGTGGTGGTGCTCCAAGCGCCAGAGAAAAAGTGCCGAAAGGCACGATAAAACATTGTCAATTTAGAACAAGTTCAAACCAATACATTATAATAACTTAGTGCTGATATTATCAGAGGCTTTGCTTGTGTCCATGATTGGGTGTGTTTTGTTGCTTTCATAGCATTCACTGGCATCCATTCTGTCGTGCCTGCCTGACTTTTTTTGCTACCCCACCATTCAACCAGTTGCAGTGTAACAAGCGACATCAAACTCTCAACAAGACATCTCATTCTCATATCTTCATCTCAAAATAACACCACTGGCCTTGACAGATATTCAGAGTCATTCTAGGTGAAAAGGGAGCACTCTTACCACTACCAGCCTTCACTCTATTTCTAAATCGTCATCTATTTTTGCGTCAGCTTATCAACATGGACGGAGAGCTCCCATCTCGTCCCAAAGGCCTGACAAAATCAGAGTCGGGCGCATCTTTTGGAGGTGGCTCTGCAATGTCGGTACCAGTTCTAGGATCTCATCCTCTAGGAACTCTCCACGTTCATCAAGTTAATGAGACCCATGAGGAGGAAGACGACGACGATGACGGCCCACCACCCCTCGATCCTCCCTCAACACAAGATGAGAGCCACTCCAGTTCTGCATATAAAACGTCACAGCATGACTCTTCCAAATCTCTCCACAGTCCGACATGGGACCCTTTGACACACAACTTAGGAGGTGGCGATGTGGTTCTTATCCTTGACTTGCCTGAGGTCTTTACCGTTGGATATGACTCTATATCATTCACAGCCAAGCACTTTGGCGGCATCAGGGATATACCTCCAGGAGCTCACTTCTTCTGGGTTGCCCATCCCGGAGGCCTTTCCGCCCGCTGCGGCTTCTGGGTTGTCGCAAACAACGCCAACACCGTTCATGTCATGCAATGGGATCGGTTTAATGAGGTTCTCGGCGACTCTGCCCGTGCTGAGGCACGCATCCAAGCTGACAACCTCGAGACCATTCACTCCAAACTAGTCCCTTATCAAGACCCAACTGCAGTCAATGCAACCAGTGGTGATCTGGCTCAAGCTGCTTCGGAAAGGAATTTCAATATGTGGGAGCAGCTGACTGGTAAGGTCAGTGAGAGTCTTCTCAACCGAGTGACTGGACAGAATTACGACAACTGGACGGTACACACGGGCGATCGCGTCAAGGGATCAGTACTCATGGCTGCTGAGATGGAACTCGATAACTCGCTCTCAAATCCTATGCTCAAGTCGCGTGAGCTCAATTTCGCCTTCAGTCAGCGGACAAAGACATACTCGACAGACAACACTGGCGCTGAACGGACCCTTGAGGCCACAGACGCAACTCCCTACATACTATCATTGGTCGACGCATCTGACAACGACCTTACATCCGAAGATCTGGTTGGCGAATTCCAGTTCTCCTTCGTTGTGGGTGTGCACCTTGGCAACGATTCATGCATCCAGCAGTGGTGGCACATGCTCCTCAAGATATTCCTCCGGGCTCACCTTCTTCCTGCCCGCCGGCCGTCCCTCGCTGCCGCTTTCATTCGTACTCTGACGGCTCAACTCACATACAGCGCTTCTTGGCTTGAAGGTTCGATCCTGGATTCTGCTGAGTCACAAACCCGGGATTTGCGACTCGCTCTTACTGTCTACAAACGCCGCCTCGAGGAACTCATGCAAGGTCTGGGAAGCCAAGCCACACCTGAGCAGCTCAGCGTCGCCACAGCGTTTGCGGGCCTCGAGGCTGTTGCAACAGGCACGCTGGATTGGGATCTACGAGGAGATTACTTGCGCCGTGGTAATGTCATGATGGAGGATGGTGAGGAGGTTGAGCTAGAAGATGCCGACATGGCAGCTGAAGATGAACGTGGCGAGTGGGCACCAGAGATTGTTGATCTGGATGAATCTGGGAGACAACGTGATTTGATCTCGTGGAATGATTAAGGATGTCTTGCTGCGAGAACGGTTCGTGCTTCGAGACGCTGGGGACGAATAGCTGGGAAAGCCACCGTTAGAGGGTTCAGGCAAGCACGGGAACATGGTCAGGCTATAGTTGGCCGCGTTCAGGATCTAATCGTTTTACAGAAATGCCTGGCTTAATGGAGATGTGGCCCTGCGAACGGTCCAGAGATTTGAAATAGGAGAGCTGGGAGTTGGCGGTTTCGTTAGTATTACAAATAATATTGCACTTGATATTGTATACTGGTATTATGACTTGTAGAGAACGTGACAGTAATAGTGGATGATACCATTGACGGCACCATCATTCTTATCGATTGCTGTTTCAACCATATCGAATTCTGTACAGAATTCCATGCCAGAGGCCAAACTCATACATTCAGTCGCTGTAGACGTCACATGCAAGGTAGTGGGAAGTAATTGTCTCGGAGCGAGCCCAGCCAGAAGACGATTCATTGACATCACAATTCATCGCAGCGTGAACTGTATCGTTAACTTGAAAGATTTCATTTGCCTGCCAGATCCTTTACAATCCGCCAAAAGCAAGAGCCATGCAAATGTAAATGGGTAAACCAATCCCAAACCAGGGAAATTGTGACTCCGGTCCCCTTTTCGCACTGCCCGTTGTATCCTCCACTGCAACATCGCTCCGACTCGACGCTTTTGTGCCCCATTCCGACAAACATCTTGAACCGTTTAACGGTAAGACTTCTGGAAACGAGAGCGAGCACCCTTACCACCGAACTTCTTGGGCTCGCAGCGGCGGTTGTCGGCAACGAGGAGGGTTCGATCGAACTGGACGAGAGCCTGCTTCAGGAGGTTCTTGGAGTGCTCATCGACGAACTTCTGGTAGTAGGCGATCAGACCCTTGGCGATGGCTTGTCGGATAGCGTAGACCTGGGAAACCTGCAAAAGGTCAATATAAGCACCTTTTAAGGGAGAAAAATACCAACATGTCCACCCCCCTGGACTCTCACACGGATATCAACATTGGCGAACTTGTCAAGGCCAACAACGAGGAGAGGCTCGTAGACCTATATCATGTTAGCATGTGTTGAGATGGAGACCCGAAATTTCGCAAATCTCTCTAGAAAAGCACAAAAACATACCTTGAAGCGGAGAATCTCAGGCTGGACAAGCTGGAGAGGGCGTCCATTGACCTTGATGAGACCACGGCCGGCCTGGGAGTTCAGTTAGCCTCATATATTCATTCTCGTAGGTCGTCTCGACGCGGGATTGGCGAACCTTGCAGTGGGCAACGGCGGTCGCAGTCTTCTTTTTCCCAAAAGTTTGGACTTGCTGAGGAGAGCTCATCTTTGCGATTGTCGTGTCCTTTCGTGAAGCCGGAGGGTATGGAGCAGTCGCCGTGTTGAGGGTGTTAATGTGAGTTGAGATTTTGCAAAGTTCTGGACTGGCTAGGGCAGGTGGTAGGTGGGGGCAGCTGCTGATTTTTGATAGGCTTTGACGTCTGTGGGAAAAGTGGAGCCCAAATAGGTTTTAGGGCACAGTCCCACACCACAAGGCAAGTGCGGCCCAGTTTGGTATCTTCGTTCCAACTGCACGGAAAAAAATCGTCAAAACTTCATACTAACCCGACGAACCGCAGCCCACCGTCAAGGTCAGCAGAACCTCGCTCATTATCATCGACAATCGATCGCGAATACTGACATTGTTGATTCAAGATGGTTTCCGCCAAGAAGCACGTTCCTATCGTCAAGAAGCGTATGTCCACCGAATCCGAGATCGAGAAGCACTTTGTGCTGTGGAAGATGGAATCACGATATTGATATGTTGCATACAGGCACGAAGCACTTCTCTCGGCATCAGGCCGACCGCTTCATGCGCCTTGACAAGGGCACATGGCGCAAGCCCAAGGGTATCGACAGTCGCGTTCGCCGTCGATTCCGTGGTACCATTGCTATGCCCTCTGTACGTTGAAACTCTGCGAGGCCCACGTGGAATCATCAACATTCTCATGGGTGGGATGTCCTGGAACTTTGTGCTGATACGTTATTACTCCAGATCGGCTATGGCTCCAACAAGAAGACCCGCTACATGATGCCCTCCGGCCACAAGGCTTTCCTCGTCAGCAACAGTATGACCGTTCTCCCCTAAGTGACGATTCGTTCTCTAACACGAAGCAGCCGGCGATGTAGAGCTTTTGCTCATGCACAACAGGACGCACGCGGCTGAGTACGCCTTCTCTACTCATGTAGACGACGAATTTCTGCTAACAAAACACTCCAGGATCGCTCACAACGTCTCTTCCCGCAAGCGAGTTGAAATCATTGCCCGTGCCAAGCAATTGGGAGTCAAGGTCACCAACCCCAAGGCTAAGGTTACCACCGAGGTTTAAAAAGGACATGGATCGGTTATTGGGCTGCTTTACGGTTATGCATCGGAAAGGGATTTGCGTTATTGCGGTTCTAGCATATAAGTTTGCATGCTAGAGAATAAAACGCGCCGTTGAACGACAAAGAAACTGGCATCAACCGCTTAAACAGCAAATCTCTGGGAGTCAAGAAGGGCATGACAAGTGTGTTTCTACTCCAAACCGATGAGGGCGCTAGGGGGTTTAAGTGAAAGTCTTGCATTATAGGCAAGGCCATGAAAAATAAACAAAACCCCTTTTGAGGGCCCCATCTAAACATCCGCAATGCTATTTGAAGTCCAAACTGGTGCTCAAATCGCTCGTAGATATCAACCCTTGTTCTGACACGTCCGTCTATCTCCATTGGCCATCTGCAAACTACGTGAGTTATGCTTGGTGGCAAACAGAGGCCTGGCAGTTAGCTATACTTTGGCTGCAGAGGTTTACCCACAAAAGGCGAGGTCTTCTTACGCATGTGGTCAGTTAAAGGGCCTCAGGATATCAAAAGAACTGACCCCTGAAGGTATAAGAGAGGAAATGATTGAGTCACTCTATGTATGCTAGGTAGGTAGCTTAGACTAGCACTTACGTTACTTTATTATGGTAGCCTAAGTCTTGGACGACAATTCACCTGTTACCTACCTGAGGGGATTAGTATTGGTCTGATAGAATACCATTGGCATTTGATGAGTATTGAATACTACGAAAGGATGTTGATCAGTCTTAGTATCACTCGAAAGTCAAAGAGCTTCTGGCCTGTGGCTAGTAGAGGTGAGAGAGCACCTAAGTCAATCAGCATTCAGAGCCATATCAAAATTTTATGGCTCTAAAAATTTCATGGTTTCAATATCAACTTGTACGCTAGCACAGCAACTCAACACTCTTCTTGACTGGAGTCAGGTAAGCTTAACCGGTGTCTCTTATCATCATGTTGCAAATTACTAAGGTAGAGGAAATGATCTAATCACTATGTCTATTAGGTCGACTCAGGCAGGTGGGTGACTGAAGAATTGTCCTATGGTTTCGAGAACCAAAATAAAGTGGCCTAAGTGCTCATCTAAGACGACGTAAGACAACTAGGATATTTCATCTCTTATTCTCTCGACAGCCAATTCTTCTGACACCCTGACGGGAGGGGAGGTATACTGCTTGTGCGGGTTTGTAGGTCGGCATAGAGGCAACTGCCACTGCCATTGCCACTGCCACCTGCATTGCACCTGCGTGCACTCTTGCTCTTGCAGCTGGTTATCATAGAATACCAAACTTCTTGCAAGTCAAACCAGTCTTCGGTTTCTTTCATCTACACACCTGGCTATTTTTTCATGCTTCGTTGCCCGAAAACGATCTTCCTTCATCATGAAGTAACTCAATACAATTCATCGCTTACTGTCACTTTCGATCGCGGCTCATGCTCGACCCTCACCCAAAGCCATTCTGTCTACCCACTAACCAGTTTGCTCGTATCGAGTCGCTGGGATATATTCTATTACTGATTCGAACTCTCAACCCGCGATGCCGTTTCCGCTACGACTTTCCCGACCGCGGGCAACAGTCTTCAAGCCGCAATGTACGCACCTAACCATGACCCGGGTCTATGATACGGATGCGACATGTTTCTCATGTCAGGAACCTGGCCAGTTTGGATGGTTATATCAGTGTACCCAGGATCTTGACCAGATAATCGAGGAGAAGATGGTAAGATGCTTACTACCTTAAAGCATCACTTGACGTCGGTACAATAGCTAACTCGATAATAGCCATGCACCGATTTCTTGGACTATGACTTTCGAAAGAGTATGGGTGCAAGAAAAGGAAGCGCAGAAGCTCGGCGGGACAAACTGAGCTTTCTCAGCGAACTCACTCCTGAGCAGATGGCCTGTTACCGACCAGATCAGATTGCGACCATCCTGAGACAACGCGAACAGGTAAGCCATTTCTCCTAAACTTGACATAAGCTTATCCTGCATTATAGTTGAAGAATGTCATCGCGCGGGAAGAGTTTAAGAGAAGCGCCCTGATTGGTAATCCGGCTCCTGGGTTTGGAGCTCATATGAATGACGACGCATATACTGAACAGTGGAAACGTGACGATAAGAAGAATTGCCAGTACAGAGTTTGCCCAAGATGTCGTCCTGTATGCGTCGACCGGGCATTTTTGAGCCTCGATGCAGTTGCTAATGGAGAGATCCCCCCAACAGCCGCAGCTGGTTCCGGATTCGAAGCATTGGGAGGGAGACCAGTCATCAAGAAAGATGTCATTGAGTGCATCAATGAGCATCGTCCAAAAGCAAACAATCGCCAAATGATGGAAATGCTCGAAGAACAAATCGCGCGTATGCTTGGCCGCCATCACAAGAATCAGGATCTTCGAAATGTGCTTAAAAGGACAGTCTTTGCACCACAGCGACAAGTCCGAAAGTTGCCCATCGTGAAGCAAATTCCGACCACTGGGCAAAGTCTGCATGAGAAGGAACAAGCCTCAGTCGACGTTGCTCAACATGACGATCAAGAAGTCGTAGCTTCGAACCCTCCCGACTTTTTAGAAAGCCCTTGGCCATGGTTGGCTGCATTTGATAACGGGAACATGGCCAGAGCTCCCGAAGATCAAGTTCAGGAACAATCATCACGACAAGGTCTACGGGCAACGCGTATCCCTCGGTAAGTCATGTGCGTTGAACTCGATAGACGCTCCTTGTTGACTGAGATGGCACAGTCCGACTACCCCTGGTTCACGATCTACCAGACGTCGATTGGCCGATCAGCTTTTGTTCAGTGCTTCCTACTTTCCACCGCCCGAAGGATATCCCTGGCGACTTCTCTTGAGTCGAGGGAACACCGAGGCGGGAGCCCCCTCTCCTCGTAGCCGCTCACAGACCACCGACTCGCAGGGGAGCGATAATGAAAACTCATTGGTAGAATGTTCATCCATACCGCTGGCGGTAGACAACGGAGTGGCCATGACTGAGGAGAGCATCGAGACCGGAGTCCCTGACGTGGTGACTCAAGTATAACTTTGTATGAGAAGTAGCACGTTTGAACCTTGTTAGAGTGGTTCTACTTGGGAAGCTACTCCAATTGTGGGATAGAACTTGACAGTGTGGAGGTTGTCAAACTGGGAGATCCCATTCGTCGGTTTAGACATTGTTTAGAGTCTTGGAGACGCATATTTATCTGTTAGGAATAGCACTTGAGTAAAAGAAGCCCTTACTGTTCGTTATTAACACTGCAGAAGAAATGACCTCTGAGGCTTGTGTTACAGAAATAAAGTAGCCCAAGTGCTAGCTAAAGCTAGCATGAGGTAACTGAATTATTTAGTCTCTTATGCTCTTGGCGGCCTGACGGCTGTCGAACTAATTATCCTTAGAATTCTCCAAAATTTTCTTCATCATTTGATTGCCAACCACCTTCGCCTCCTCGAATCGTGGCTCGAAGAATTCCTGGGTACTCACAAACCGCTTCTCCCACGTCTCAAAGTGTCCTAGGTTTACACATTCAGCCCAGGCTCGCGCTGCAAAAGTAAACTCGAGATCGTCACTGCGGTAAGTCTTATCATCGATTGCAGTCTCAATCGCGGCTTCCAGCACGTCCTCGTTTCGGAACAGATACTCGGTTACACCAAGGCGCAGACGAAACAGAGGGGTACTGCAGAGCATATGATCGTAGGGTGCGATGTTCAATGCAGCCCAGCAGTCGACCATGGCAAGGATGGAGAGATGATTATTGGGGCGAGGCTCGTCTGTTGGTGTGCCAAGAGAGAAGGACGACAGAATGGACGGCTCGAGGAGAGGTCGTGTATCCCATGATGTTGACGGGCCAAACACCTTGTCGCGCGCACGGTAAACTCGCTCCCTGAAGCCCTCCCGGTTGCCCTCAAGCATGAGCTTGTACAGATCTGTGACGCTTCGGGCATACTGGGAAATCTGCTCCCTAGCTTCAGGGTTCAGGATGGCAAGACCTGCGTACACATGCCATTTCTGGCTGTAGATGCGCAGCATGAGATTGACCTTGACATTCTCGATACCGCCAACGTAGCGACTCAGCTCCCAAGGAAACTGCTTGTTGGCGTGCCATGCCTTGCCCATAGATAGAAAAGCGGCATGTGTAACAGCCTGTGTGTCCGCGGTGATACGGTCATGCTCACGGGCTGTGAGATGAACAAACTTGGACCGGAGACAGCTGAGAACGGCCTCGACCTTTCGGAGAGCCGAGTCTGGAGCGCGGTGCTGAATGAGGACGAGAGGTTGATTGTACGGGTCGACGTTTGGTCCATGTAGCGAGTGACAAGAGATAATATCGACATCGGAAGGAAGGTGGGCCTCGAAAGCGGCGATCTCAGGAGATTTGCACGAGGTTTGGCCTCCGACAATGGCACCCAGTTTCGTAGCTGAAACATAACAAGATCAGTTACAATGTTTGGTCTATGGCCCTTTTGGGCTACAATTCACGGTGCACGAGAAAAGAGGGCGCATACATGGTCCATACTGAGCAATCACACGGTCAATGACGGCGGCTTCCACGCTGTAGATGATGTAGTCGCTTGCGCGGGATACGAAGTGTCCATTTCGGCAAATTTCTATATTTTTCTATTCGAAAGCTTCAGCGACTGGCGCGAGGCAGAGAAAGACAGGAATCAGTAAGCCATACATTTCCAGCATATTCTTTCTGAAGGCTCTCCTGGTTCTCTTCTCGATCGCAGGCCAAAATTCTAAAGTAGTCCGCCGTTAGCCACTCGGCATGCGGGTTGGGTTGCAGTCACGAGTAGGATTGTATAGGATCTGTTCTTGTTCATGTTAGCTGTTGTGTCAAAACAAGTAGTGCTAACAAAATTGAGGTATGGGTGAAAATTCAGACAGTTGTATGTTAAGGTAGCAAGCGTTTACATCATTGAGAGCACAGGTCCGATTCCGATGGCCATAACGGACACCGGGCGTCCCTGAACAATGCTCGAGCCAAATGCGCTCTAGTCATCATGAAAGAGGGGAGGGAAGTGATAGGTGAGGAGAGTTGTGCTTACCGTTTGAGAAGAGATAGCTGGGGCTGGAAGCATGAATCGCAATGGATCCTAGACTTACCTCCAGCCAGCGGCAGACAGCCTTTCGGCGTACATCTTGCCCATGTCGCCCATTCCAATCAGTCCGACGACGAAGTTCTCCATCCCCTCGGGGACGACTTGCGTGTGTGAAGCCATATTATCTGCTGCGCGATGATAGCAATAACAGAAAACAAGAATCACATCCTCTCAAGCGAGCGTCTTTTGTTTGTAGCTTTGTGCTGAAAGCTCAAAAGAGTGTGGTTGAGAGTGAAGGAAAAGAAGAGAAGAAAAAAAAGTTCGCGACCTTCTTTATGGTGGAGATTTGATGAGCCTTACGTAAGCCATCGAGACCGCGATATAGCGATGGGTGGGTCTATGAAGCTATCCACTGCAAGCAGAAGCACAGAACCTCAGGACGAGAGAAGCTTTGCCTACGAGGACTTCTTGTTCACAATTTCGCTTCTCGAAAATATGGAGGTCGTATTCGCTTTAGGCTCAAACGGCTCTGGTCAACTCGGCATTGGCCATAAAGAGGATGTTTCCGTGCCAAAGCAGGTCCTTTTCCATCCCGACCAGCCAGCCTCCCCAATTGTGCAAGTCGCAGCTGGTGGAAACCATACGCTACTACTTACGAAAGCTGGTCAGCTCTACTGGAGTGGTGACCCTACGCCTGGAGCTTGCGGTTTGACATCTGGTCCTGATGTTGCTGTTTTCCGAGAAATCCAGCTTACCAAGAATGGAGAGCCTCCAGTTGGCGAGATCGCCCTGATCACAGCGACATGGGAAGCTTCTATCATTGTAGCCAAGGATGCAGATGGCAAGAACACACAGGTCTTTAGTTTTGGTGCAGGCTTGAAAGGCGAGCTTGGTCTGGGCGAACTCATCGTTAGGACACCATCAGCAACACGAACCCGAGATTTTCCTCCTCCAGGCACGGAAGTTGTCGACTTGGCCGCCTGCATGGGACATGTTGTCGCAGTTCTCAATAATGGAGAAGCCTATGGCTGGGGTAATGCGAGAAAATCTCAAGCTGGTGAACCGGGTCAAGTTCTTCACGCTCCCAGAAAGATTGAGGGTCTCGATTTCAAGGTCGCACGGGCTGTCTGTGGTAGAGAATTCACCTGTCTATTCGGCGACCCACAAAGTGGAAACCTCAAGGTTCTGGGTTCAGACAAATGGAAAATTCAATCAGATGCACCCGAGATATGTCCTGAGTGGAAAGATGTAAGGGCTAGTTGGGGAAACATCTTCATCTTAGCAAAGGATGGTTCTCTTCAGGCCTGGGGTCGAGACGATCACGGACAACTTCCTCCCCCGAATCTACCGGAGTTGGCCAAGATTGCAGTTGGCAGTGAGCATGTCGTTGCTCTTTCAACTACAGGCAATGTACTATCATGGGGTTGGGGCGAGCACGGCAATTGTGGACCTCAAGTTGAGAACAACGACGTCAAGGGACGATGGAATATCATTGCTTCGTCCAAATTTATTCCTCCGGGCTCTAAGATAGGACACGTCGGGGCAGGATGTGCCACCAGTTGGGTATTCATCACAGCAGATTGAACCCGTTCGCCTTAAATAGCACTCCTCACCTTCCAAATTTTGATGTCGCATGATTAGTCTGGGAAAAGAGCGAGGTTCTCGACATCCGCCAGTTTCTGAGTCGGCTCGAGATATGTTGATTCTGCATCCGTAGGCTGTGGATGCGGTTGTTCAGCTTCGGCTTCGAAATCAGCAGGTGCAGGGTTTTCAGCAAAGCGGCTCATATCCATTGCAGAAGCATCCTTTCCAAGTTAGTATTTGGCGAAATCGGAGAAAGTAGTGCAACTTACAGGGTTGATACTATGATCCCATCCTAGCTTGGCATTATCGTCCATGAGCTCCTCATCATCGTAGTTGATGGGCTCCCAGCCTTCGTCTTCCACGAACAAGCTCTCAGATTGGTTGGTAGCGGGCGGTGCCGGTTTTTGAGACGGGCGGAGGTCGAATATCCCCACACGCGAGGCACTGGCTCTAGCAGCGCTCATCTGTGGTGTCGAGTTAGGTGGAGGGAAGGATGGAGGAGGGGGTGGTAGCAGAGGTTGCTGTGGTTCAGACGGCGGCATGCTAGGCCTCCGTGTAGTAGCTTCCAAGCGTGGCCCCGTACTCTGGGGTGCGTTCTTGCGACCTTTCTTGGTCTTCTGAGCAGGATTGGTTCCACGCTCACCAACAGTCATAACGAGAAACTCGCATGATATGGCATCGCCGGTATAGGAGAGTTGGATGGGCTGCGTAGGAACTGAGTAGCGAGCTGAGACGTCGTTGCCTGTGATTCCGGCATGCTGAATTATGGCGCGGAAGTCCTTGACAGAGATTACAATGTGAAGCTTGTCTTCAACATCGATGTCGTCAAACTCCTCGGCCTCGACGGCGATTGATGTCTGTAGTGGTTTCTTGAGGACCGCTAACGGTGTCAGTATAACAAGATTCGTCTGTCCGGGCGATACGCACCATCCTCGCTCACAGTCTTTTCGCTGAAACACGTAAAGTTGACGTGGTCGCCATCGGTGTTGATGTCAAGGAATTCGATACCCGGGCCAAAGTGGTCCATCAGCTGCCGTAATGTTCGTGAAGAGATTTTCCAATGATGAGGAGCATCCTGTTTGTTGAACTTGGCATGAACAGGAACGGCAACTTCAAAGGGGAGGCGATGTGTTGATGTCAACCCGTTACGGAAAATGAGACGTGCGATAAACCGACTTTCGATTCCTTCTCCGTCCTCGATGGCGACGTCGCATCTGTCGATGAGCGTCTGCTTTTCAACATCTCTCTGTGTATCGGACGCTGTGCGGCTGCGAAACAAAGAGACCAAAGCCTAAAACTATTTAATAATGCATGATCGACAGAGGGTGAAGAGACTCACGCGGATGTAGAGAGTACAGTGGAAACGGTCATGGAATTGACGACTCCCCTGATAGTGGTACCGCGAGAAGAACTTGGTCGTAGCAAATTTGACACTCGCATAAGCGGATTTGGAAGTATTCAGAGTGGTCAAAACGAACTATCAAGAATTTGTAAGTTGCTGGCTCAAATGAGGCTCTTCAAAATGATTGGTTGATCTTACTGAATCCTTGCGTGCCTCGAGCGAGACGTCGTCACTGAACTTGTTCAAGCAAATGAGGGCATCACGAAATGCAGCAACGCCCTCCTCACTCAATGTGAAGCTGAGAAGCGCCATTACGCTTTATTGAATGGAGTTTTTCATAAAGGTTTTATCATGATAGCTTGGCCTCGGTTGTAAGAATTCAACTCATTTTAACTTTGACTTGTCAGGCCAATGATGCTTCCGTGAACGCGTGCCTGCCTATTATAACGGCATGTGGGCCCAATCCAGCCCCACTTTGGCTACCCTGTACCAATCATCGAAACATCAAAACATTAAGATACCATCACGTCATCGTAGCTTCCAAGCAAATATGAAAACGAATCAAGTTGAATCAATAGAGAGAATTAATTGCCGGTCTTTTGTCCCTTATCAATTACCAAACTCCGCAAACCCCATTCCTGTCATATCATCGTGTCAAGCCATCGAGACTTGTCTCTTTCCTCTTAGGAAGGTGTGAAAGGCTGTGTTGTGAATGCCAAGCCGCTCCAGCTATTTAGCTGTTTAGTGACGGAAGCAGCTAAACTTTCCGAGGGAGAATCGCCAGGGACCTCGTCGGACGCCATTCTTGTCGACATGGACACTAGTGCCGAAGTGACGGCCACCAACTCCCTTTGACCAGAAAAGACCCATGATGTCGGTTTTTTGTTTTGTTCTTTGAGGTGAAGGATATGTGATCTCTTGGGTGTGAGTGATCTGAATAAATACTGTTAGCTCATGTAATGTTTCGATACGGATGCTTGCCAAGAAGAAATATCTACCTTTGTAGGGCTGACGATTGATGAGGTGTAGTTGAAAGAAGCTTGTTTGTAATGAAAATAAAGTGTCGGAGGGGTTGGCGATCAACTTTATACCAGATCTTGGGCGTCAATCGTAAACTTGGCAGGGACCATGAAGAGAGGCCTCTGCCATTCAGTCATTTCAGTGACATGCCGGCTGCTGTGGCGTCACTGTAATGACGTATACTGATGGCTGTGCGATTGACGCCACACCTCTTTCACAGTACATATGATTGGAGGACAAAGAATACCAGCCTTGATCCTCAACATGGATGGGTGGAAATCAGGTCTTGAACTGCTAATCTTGTCTCATTTTGTTCAAGTGAAACGTTCTGCAGCGAGGAACCGCGATGATCTTCTTCACAGCCTCCAAGATGTTGGGAGATCTACGCGTCAACACTTGATGATGCTGCCACACCACGATACCAGAATGTGATTGAGGGTATTGCATCGTGGTTTTTCAGATGAGCTCGATTCATCAGAACATGACTTACTATCAGAAGCAGGAACTAGGTTGCTTTGTCCTGAGGAAAGTCACACCAGTTCTGACGCACAAAGCAAGAGGCGCACTTACAACCTCCAAGAGATATGAGTAACCCAACTGGTTTTCATCGGAAGACCCTAGCTATGACTAGTCAAAATCGACCATCACCAGGTGTGGGTGACTACGAGCTGACTCTGGCTGCACCGGCAGATAAAAACGTGCCAGCCTCTGATTTCCCTAGACCACACAAAGTTGTACTGGCTCACATCCATCTGCAGGATCCTGATTCAGAAATGCAGCCTCTCACTATCGAGTATAGCCTTCGACGAAAAGATGACTCTCTAGTTCAGCAGGAACAGACGATATATGCCTCAGTTCCCATTAATTCACGGGATTTCCGCATTCCAGAACCACCTGCCCTCCTCCAGCAGGTCCAGCAAACCCCTGCCACCCCGCCGACAAGCTCTCCGACTCAGGTTCCTAACCAAGTCTCTGATGCTGGTAAAGACGCACCACCTTTTATGGACGCGGTTGACCAGCAGACTGACCGAGAGGATATCGATACAATGGATGTGGGTATGTATCTAAATCTGCCGAGCGATGAGGAGTTGGTTGAGGAGAGCACCTCTGAGGTGACCGATGACCTGAACATGGATGTCCATATGAGTGGCCTTGATGATGTCTTCGCTCAAGTTATCCAGCAGCACGGAGAAAACTCAGGTGAGAAGTTCCTTCAGGATCGCTTGGCTGCTCAACGACGATACTCCATGGACGACGGCCCGCTAGAAGAATCGAAGGCTGAAGTCACGGAGCCCATTGTCAATCCAATGACTCTTGGGCAAGGTTAGTATACCCCTGAAAACATGCAGCTGATCTCCCCAGCAGTTCTTGTTCTAGATGATGGCGACAGTCAATATTGGTTTTGCTACGAAGATGTGGATTAGATGGCGGTAACAGTCAGTGAGTGCCCTGAATTTTGGATGGAACTATTGTTCAGTGTAGTAGTAGTTAAGTACAGTAAGTAAAAAAATAAAAACAACAAGTGTTGAACCAACTTGACCATTCTCATCGAGCCTCATAGCATCAGAAGTATTACCCTCTAAAGCATAAGAGACAAAATAGTCTGGTCACTTTATGCTGTCTTAGACCAGGACTTAGGCTACTTTATTATGATAGCCTAAGCTTTAGGAAAAAGTTTGTACAGACACGTGCCCGGTTTAGAAGACCAAGTGATAGTTAAAATGATAGCTTAGGATTGAAAGCGCGCCCAAGGCTGGAGTTAGTCTGAATTGAGTCCCATCCATCCTGCAGTGACCAAACTCTCATGGTCCTTGCGATCACCAGCTCCTGTCCAGTAGAATAGCCCACCCAGACCCAGGGCTTTAGCATATCCTGCCTTGATGGCAACTGTGCTGGGAACATCAAACGACACAAAGCCCTTGTCTCCTTCAGTGTCAACAAAAGAGGCCGCCGCAACGTCTTGATCGACCTCTGCATCCGCCACCCAATCATCCGGCAAATCACAGTAATCGATCTCACCTGCACCTTCAAAAGGATGACCTGGTGCATGTGCCTGGCCGAAGTATCTGGCGTATACCGGGATACCCAGTACAATCTTGTGACGAGGAAAGCCATTTGCAATCAAATACTCGATACCGCGCTGACAAGACTTACGGAGCGTCGGGTACACCTCGTTCAGGTCCCCATTCGGAGGTAGAAGTTGTGCATGATGCCCGCAAACATCTGTCCATCCTCCTGTGAAGTCATATCCCATGAGATTGAGAAAATCAAGCAACTCGGCCACTTCTGGTAGATTGAGATGCTTGAGACAGTACTCTCCCGTTGGAAGGGCACTCGTTAGCAGGTACTGAGAAGCTGGCATGGTCCCTCGGATAGCCTGGAGGAAGAGAAGATAATCGTGTCCTGCTTCGGGGGTCTGAGGATGCTCCCAGTCAACTACAATATGGTCAGCTTTGTTACGGTATGCCGTTAATGTCAATTTCTACTCACTGTCAACACCATCAAATTGATGGGTTTCGCAAAATTCACTGATTTGGCATGCAAAAGTTTGTCTGGCTTCTTCGCTCGCTGCGAGGGCAGGGAACTCTTTGCTGCTGGAGCCGCCACCGATGGAAACAAGTGTCTTGATATGCGGGTGTTCACTCTTGAGTTTGGCGATCGCTGCGAGGCAGCCTTTTTCGCCATCGACCATTTTTTCATTGTCAGCCCAATCGTCAAGGGCCTGGAAGGTCGAAGTTAGCGGATGGTGTTTCTGGGAACCATTTCGATGTCACTCACTCGCAATGTGCCGTCCTCATTGACGCTACAATAGTCAGTATCAGTACCAGGATGTAGCTCGAGTGTAGAAACTTACCCGACAAAGGCATAGAAGATGTGTGTGATGTGGGAGGTATCCAAGCATGATGGAGGGCGCTCTTTGTAGCAGCGCCACGAGGGATAGTACACGGCGTTCATGTATTCAGATGACATATTGGATGCGATGATGGAACAATGAGAAATACTGAGAAACAATGACAGGAATACAGGATATTAAGGAGAGCAAAATCGAGTATTTTAGGTATAAATGCAGGTCTCAGGTTGTACAGAGACTCAGCCCCAATGACTCCTCACTATCGCAAGTCAGTAATGATATCCAAGGTGGTTGGGCAGGTACAGTCGAATGATGCGATGCGATGCGATGCAGGGCCAAGGTGAGGCCAAGCTGAAGCTGAGGAAGCAGGTGCTTTTATACCAGGATGCTGCATGCAGATACGGATACATGCTGGTCATTGGCAAGTGAGTTGCTTGGACCTCGGAAATCGGCATTAGGAAAGACTCACCGTGAATTCAATTGCCACTGACCTAATAAAACCATGAATATATGATTATCTTGAGCACTTGAACTTTCTTAATATGCTTCATTCGCGAAGTTTGTATTTTCGTGCCAGTTTCCAGCTTCAGCTCATTATTCTCCACCAAGTCATCTATTTGCTACCTACTGCGCCGATCTTATGACAACTCACATCATTGAAAGACTTCGTAACAACTCGACTTTATTGAATTACTAGCTGCCCATTAGAAGTGCCCTGATCGTCATACACTGTCTCTCCAGACTACCCGCCATTACTTATCACCAAGTGTTCCTCATTGGCACCATCTCTCAACCTCAACACCTTCAAGCTCATCGAGTATGTCTAACTGCAAACCTGGCTGCCTTGAGGCGACAACGATAGTATCAAATGTTTCCAAAACATCCCTACACCAGTCCTCGGTAGGCAGTCGATGAATCTGTGGAAATGCCTCCTGTTTGACAAGAGAATCCGCCCAACAGACATCTACTTCCCGCGAAACAGCTAAGGCTTTGACCAACTCAGCACCTGGCGAATTATCTATCTGTGACTGACCAGCCTTGAAGCCTACACCCACTACCAGTACTCGAGGTGTTCTATTCACGGCCTTTTGGCGCAGCGTCTTCAGTACTCTCTGAGCTAGTCGGGAGGGCCGAGACTGCATCGCCATTGTAGCGCACTCCAACAGAGGAAAGTGGCTATTGGAAAGGAGGTAGAACGGGTTGACAGGAATGCAATGCCCGCCTACACCAACACTAGGAGTATATGGCATATAGCCAAATGGCTTCGTCGAGGCAGCGTCGCAGACTTCATATGGATCGATGCCATGTGGGATACACGCATCAGCCATTTCATTAGCATAAGCGATGCAAACCATCCTTTGGCAGTTCTCGTAGAGCTTCATCATCTCGGCCACTTCTGGCTTCGACACAGGGACGATTGTGTTGAATATAGTAGAGTAGACTCGGGCGATGGCGTCGAGGGATCCGGGGGTGATATCATCCAAGCCTGAAATGACTTTTGGAATAGACTTAACAGGAGGTTTGACGCGCCCGGGGTCGACTCGCTATAGATGTTAGTACTAGGATACTCTAGAATAGTTGATTGCATACCTCAGGAGACATTCCAGCAAAGAATCTGCGGCTCGCAGCAAGAGGACCGAGAAGTTGACGGGTCATACCCACAGCTACAGAGCTCTCAATGACCACCGTAGACCCAGAGCGAGCCACTTCACCCACAGTCTTCAACGCCTCGCGAAGATAAGAAGAATCAATCGTCTTATCAGGCCGTAGAAGCGTTGGTACAGAGATCAAGAAGTGTGTTGCCCTTCGAAGATCCTGTGAATCTCGAGAGAACTGCACATTGGTGTTGTCTTTGTACTCGCCAGTGAGATCCTGAATCCTCTTTGTAGAAACATCGAAGCCAATGACTTGGTATCTCGAGGAGAATGAACTGACGAGATGTTTGCCGACATAGCCAACGCCAATTACTGCAACAATCGGCTCGTCTTGCTGGGTCACTTGAGTGAAGTGGCCCAGTGTTCGATCGATGGCAGTGTCAGACTCTGAGGATGAGGAGCTGAGAGGAGGAGTATCAGGGTAAAAGGCAAAGCTGTTATCCAGACGGCTCCATGAGGAGTCGAGAGGTGAAGGTAACGAGAGCCTCTTCTCTCTTAGAGGAACAAGGCTTGAGAGAGGTTTTGGGGGCATCACTTGGGCCATGCTTGGCGAGCAGTCTGTATGGTGGTTTGAACGACGAACAAAAGCACTAGTGACTTCTGATTGCAATGGTTTCGTGAAGATGGATCTGGTTATATGGCTGGTTCCTCTATATGCTCCCAAAGAACTGCGGTCCTAGATGACAGTGACTACTATGACCATGTACAAGATCGGGAGCCTGTGGTTGGTGCTTGTAGATCCATGACTTGCTTTACTACATCAACATAACGGAGCCTCTTGCCTGACTTTGGGATGATTTTGTGGCAGTGAAGCTTTGAATTTGCTACAAGGTGTTTGCGCAATGATATCACGACTGTCACTCGGCTCTCTACTTTTCCATTCGGTGCACTCTCCCATTGCGATGTTGTAAAAGTTCAAGACTAAGTTAGATCAAAGAAACATCATCATGACTAGTGACTAGTTAAGCAGTACTACTCTTCATATGTCCCGATTGGGCTCCATGTGCCCGGTTTGGTACTGATCCCCCTGGCTCCGCATTCCAGTCAAAACGCTGATCTTTCCCTTGAGGGAGAAAGAGAAAGTCGATCTTCTCGATATGGGAAAGTGTATAGATCAAATGGTAACGTACGCAACGGCAGCTAATGCAAGCCAAACGAGGTCAGAACATCTCACAACCTTGACGCCTCCCGACCCGAAAAGCTGGACAGATCACAGAACATAGGAACAACACCGATAATGCACGGTTATTCCTCAGACATCAGTGGCTTTAGACTCTGAAACGGACCTTTTGCTGCGCGGTAACTGCGATGATCGGATATCCACCAATGATTGTTTGTATGTTTGCTGCCATTCATGCTGTTCCTGTTTATGCATGTTTTCCATCGGGTGATTTCTTAACGGTAACGCCTCGGAAATTCGAAAAGCACATGAGCAAGCTCTTACCAGGCTTAACCCTTTGAGCCTCTGCCGTTGGCTTTTGCTGTTTATGGAAGGTTCCTGGTGGATGTCTGCTAGACAAAGGATACCGTCACCAGAAACACTCCGATCATATGCCGCGGCTACAGACATGGCAACGTCAACTTCTTGCTATCCGTTTTTATGAGGCTTTCTAATTTCCAATGAATAGCTATTCCGAATATAAGTAGCTGAACCGGTGATCTTCTCTCTATGCGCCATGGGGACGAACTATCGGAACACCCGAGACATGATCTTGAGAACCTGCTATATCAAGCGATCGATTCACCTACCGGACATGCTAACATAGCCTGGGGACTATGAACACCCCTCCGGTGATCTCAATTGGTTTATATCATCTACTCGGGCTAAACGTGGAAAACTTGTTTGCCATATGCCCAACACTTTTAGACTAAGCTTACGCTTAAGAATAATCTTAGGCATACTGACTCCTGGTCTAAGAATTAACATGACGAGAACTCACCAGTTGATTGAAACTCATCGGTCATACAATTTGTGCCGATTATATGGCGTTTGGCTTGCGAGTGTAGTCGCCAGCCTGCCTATCCTTTCTCATCGAATAACACGATTCAAAATATCACGCGAACTAACAGGATAGACGAAGGATTGATCACACATAACGATGTGATACATGATCCCTGCTGCATTAGAGTTGCTCCATACTCTAGACGCACCGGAACGACTCATCCCTTGACCACGACACCCTCTTGTTTGCCTGAAGACCTCACGGCACGGAGTCCTGCTCGATCATGCAAGTTGACCGACCGAAACTAATTGCCAAGATCAGTGACAGCTCTGGTAGTCTGAGACCTATTGGAGCTATACTAGAGCTGCTCTGTGAAGAGGTTGTATGGGTGTCCTATTGTGTTAGGATGGACGTGCCAGATAGCTTTAGTGACTTGGTCATGCTACTTTGCATGTAATTAGCTTTACCAAGCTGTCAAAGAGGAGATACTTTAGCGTACAAACAGGTTAAGAGGTTGCGGTAAAGAAGAGGAAAAGGGCTATTTCGTTTAGTTTCGCCGTAATAGGAACTGTTGAATATGGACGTTTCAATTTCCACCAAAGAACCTGACTAGATGAACTGCCGCATTCCAGCAAATCCATGAACCTGGTAGCGAAGAACCGTTGGAAAAGTTACTCTTAAATGCCGAGACGTTGAGAAACTCAACTTGGTACTTACCGATCATCAATTCTATCGGTGGAGTTGTTGTATGTCTTGGTCCCCGGAGTATAACGCCGCTCCACGCCCCCCCAGGACTGAGTAGCGCGACTTTGCTCAACACCGTCGATATAATCAACCAAGGAACGGTTAAAAGAGATCGGCAGAACTAGCTCGTGCTTGAAACGCCTGAAGCTAACGGTTACGGCCAACGTTGCGATGTATGTCGGACAACCATCGCATGTGAAGCGCCTCGATGATGGGAGTCGAAGCAAACAAAGGACTCACAGAGCAATTTTGATATGGAGAACAAGAATCATACATCGAGATGATCGACTGCAGTGAAGGAGCTATCGGCTTGTAATAGCGTCAAAGTTGACCGTGACGACCCAGCAAGCTAACTGCTTGACTGTACCGAGGTCGGACCTGTAAGAGGAAGAGCACGGGGGCCACTGCATCATTGAGACTGGCAGATCGAATATACGATGTTTAACTTATGCTTAATACTAACTTAGTGTAACTCCTCTGTTGCTGTTGATATCTGTCTATCCTCTACTGCCAACTCTTGAACTCTCTCCATTAGTTCCCAAGAGGCATCTCTCCCTTGTTAGACTCGCACAATGGAAGCTTCACATATCACAGATCCTGTTCGTAATACCAGGAAGGATGTAAGCTATCGTCTCCTTCTACATGATGAATATACTGACAAGCTACAGAAAGAACCCTGGCGAGGTCCAGTTCCACAGAGAGGAAAAGACACTCCTCCACCACCTTCGTTCTTCTCCAGGGGAGCAAACAGCAAATTTGTATTCAAGAATATCGATGGTCATTATCATGATCTGAATTTGGGTGAAATCCTACAGAGAACCAGTTTCGACGACACCAGATCCTCCGATGAGAGTCTTGGTCCTTCAGTATTCACTGCATCTCCCTCATACAAATCATCATTTGCCCAGACTCCCATTGCGTCCCTGAACTCATTTTATCCGCACAGAAAGCCCGGAAGCCCTTCTATATCAGGATCCTCTCACAATGGACATCTCATCGTTCCTCGCACAAGGCTTCCAGACCCGGTAGCTCGGCGACGAGATAGCGGTTCACTGTATAGTGTGGAGGATATCTCCATTGAGGCTCACAAGTATGCTGCCACTGCGACTCAGACTTCACCTCGAAACTCTATCTTGAAGCAAAACGCTGCTGATCCTACCCCCAAAGTTGAGATCGACTCTGAGTCGCAGAATTTGGATGAGTACTTGAGAAAGTACGGCCAGAGAAAAGTCACTCGGCACAAGTGGATCATGACGGGTTTCCTGGTTTCTGTCAAGTAAGTACCGCATACTATCGCATTTAAATAACGAGATTCTAACATTATACAGTTTCATGTTCATCTTTGCATCTTGGTGGTGGCCTCGATATTATTACGTCTATATCCCATTCATCTCATTCCCGTTGGTCCTCAACTGTATTATGATCGCCTCAATCATCTGTTTTACTCTCAGGAACCTCATCAAGGCTGAGAAGATCATTGAGCCGGATCAAATTGAGAACCTAGTAATGATCATGCCTTGTTACAATGAAACTCTCGAAGAATGCACCAAGTCGCTTGACTCTCTTGTCAACCAAGTCGGTATCGATAACCACAAGAGAGGCATCATGGTTATCTGCGATGGACGTGTTCGTGGACCTGGCATGGAGAAAACAACAGCCCAGTACCTCAAGGAAGACATATTTGTTGGAAAGATCCACTCTGAGAAGATTCGTGGTGCATACAGGGCTTGGGACGGCCAGGCCATGGATGTTGACATCTCATGGGGCTACTACAAGGGTGTGCCATTCTACTGCATCATCAAGGAACAGAACCAGGGCAAACGTGATAGCCTCATTGTTGTCCGTTCATTCCTGTACAAGTTCAACATCCGAAACACCAACCCAACAAACATCTTCTCACCTCGGTTTCTGCTCTCGATGACAGACTGGCTTACTCAAGAAGTCAAAGTCAATGAGGTTGACCATCTGATTGGTATGGATGCAGACACTGTATTCGATGAATCCTGTGTTTCCGAGCTTCTCAAGGAGTCCAAGTATCCGACCACTGTGGGAGTCTGTGGTTATGTTGCAGTTGACTTCAGTGGAGGCAATTGGAACTTGTGGTCTATCTATCAGAACGCCGAGTATACAATTGCCCAGGGACTGAGACGCCTGCATCAATCCATTGCTACCAAGAAGGTTTCATGTTTACCTGGATGTTGTCAGTTGCTCAAGATATGCGACATGACATGCGGCGACAAGGTCTTGATTGAGCAGTTTGGATACTATCCCAGGCCTTTGGACGGCATGATCAAACGCATTCGAGCCACTGCATCTGAAGACCGAAACCATATATGTCAACTTCTTACTACGTTTCCCGAAGCACAAACTCGCCAGGCTTTGCGAGCGAGGGCTTATACCGATGTCCCTCATTCTTGGAGTGTCTTCCTCTCTCAACGTCGCCGTTGGACACTTGGAGCTACAAGCAACGATTTGTTGCTATTCACGGCGCGGCATTGCCAGTGGTGGGAACGTATACTGGCTTTCTCAAACGTTCTTACCTGGTGTCTAAATGTCTTCGTTATTGCCTCTATTGGTTGCATGATCGTGGCCTTCATGCATCAGCCGTGGTGGATCATCATGGCATTTGCAGGAATCATGATCATTCCTCTCATATACTACGTTATCATGGCAGTTTGGCTCCCTCAGTCAATGCTGGAGAGACTTCAGTATCTGCTTGGTCTCTTCATATTCGTTGTTCTAGGACCATTCTTGAACATTGCAGTCATGGTGTTTGCAGTTTTTAATATGGATAGTTTTGGCTGGGGCAAGACTAGAAAGGTTGTCACCGAAACCCCAGAGGAACAGGTACAGGAGAAACAAAAGATCGCGGATGCAGGTAGCGGCTCTAGTTCTTCGCAGGTTAATGCGAGGGAGGAGGTGGCTACAGGCGTGCTGGTCAGGAAGCCAGCGATAGTATACGTGCCTGCCACTACACAGCACAAGTAGTCTGAATACAAATATCACTTTCACACACCTTAGACCAGATAACTCTAAGCAGAATAAGCCTACGTTTACATTCGAAGTTCTGACCCAGGAACCTGCATCATCGTGCCTCAACTAGTGGTCTGCTGTCTTACCCGTCAACCTGACAAAACACTCCGTCCCATCCACATGTTCACGCCCTGCCGATCTGTTTCTCTCCGCTTACTAGAATCTAGCTGCTCAGTTGAAAAGTTCCATCACATCGAAGTACAGACGTTAGCGCTTCGTGTAAAATCCTGGCGTTTACGTTTCACATAGCCCAAAGCCTGTGTCCATCGCGCTAAACAACGGGAGTGGCACTTTTAGAAACTCGATCGAAACATGTCGATCATACATTTCAATAGGAAAGGTTAATTGAGAAACCAGGAACCGGTCCGCCTGGTGCCAGACGCCATCAGTAAGTTCTGTCCCAGTCGTAGTTTCCTTCTTGCGCACGTCCTGATGTCGATCTCGTATACCCTTTGGACTGCCTCGATGAATTCTCAACGGCCTAGTGACCGGGATCACTCGGTCTGGACGCTCAATTGGGAACCCGTGGTTGTCGATCAGTGTTGTGAGTTCCAGATATGGATGGTTGACCACCTCTACAATCACAATCATCACATCTAGCAGCGAGCGCCATACTGCATCGAGAAACATTTAACGGCTTTCCTTGGTATTTTGTATGCATAGTAAGGTCTATTGGATCAGACGACGTTGGGAATGTCAAGATACTATCACATTTGTCTGATGCTAAGGTGGTCCGAGGTCGGACTGGACGCCGTCCTCGTCATGACCTGCTCATTCTAATAAAGCAATATTCACGAACGTGAGTTACGGCGTCAAGGCTTCAAAGTCACCATTAGTTCATGCTTGGAGACCTGCCAAGCAGGTAGAATCCATACATATATCTATCACTTCTAGCCTACTATCTGCTGATCCTTACTTCAACCACCAAGGACACTTCTCTTCACTACTGCAAGAACATTATTCCTTACGATGAAGACTTTGTGTTTTCTTCTCCTGTCTGCTCTGCCCAACGTGGTATTTGCTGATGGTTTCGTGGCAAGACGCCAGGGGGCAGAGTTCAACTTGCACGTTCGTCATGACGACGATGCTTTGGATCATCCAGCAAGGCTCTCGAAGAGAGCTTCTTGCGGCAAGGATGTTGGCTCTTGTCCCAAGGGACAATGTTGCTCTGAGTCTGGCAACTGTGGCACTACTTCTGCGTATTGCACTTCACCACAATGCCAGATGTCCTACAGCAATGGCAACTGTGATGGCAGGTAAGTGATGCTCTACCCATATAGCTACGAAATCATACTCACCATCTATTAGTAAGAAGCCCAAGGGGGAGACTACAGCGAACATTCCCAGATCAACTTCTGGCAAAGCCCCGTATAGTAGGTACATGACTTCAGTCCCTTAGCCGTCGGTTCTAATACAGGTCTAGATATCTACATCACCAATTGCACCAATCCTGGGACTGTTGCCCTCACTTTCGATGATGGCCCTTACAAGTATACTGGTCAGGTTCTAGACGTCCTCAAGAAAAATAACATCAAAGCGACTTTCTTCATCACTGGCAACAATCTAGGAAAAGGTCAGATCGATGATCCTTCCACGCCTTGGCCCAAGATCCTCCGTCGTATGCATTCTGAAGGCCATCAGCTCGCCTCTCATAGCTGGTCACATGAGGATCTCTCAGCTGCATCAGACGAGCTCCGTAAACAACAGATCATCTACAACGAGATGGCCTTCCGCAATGTCCTTGGTTTCTTCCCCAAGTATTTGCGTCCTCCTTATGGAACTTGCACACGGGTTTCTAGTTGTCTTGACTACGTGACTAAACTTGGTTACCACGTCGTGAACTGGAATCTTGACACCAAGGACTACCTGAACGACTCGCCAGTCAAGATCCAAACCAGCAAAAACACTTTCTCGGACGGAGTGTCTACTAATTCAAAGTCACATAGCTACATCGAGTTGAGCCATGATACGCATGAGCAGACAGCCTATAACTTGACTGCTTTCATGATCAAGACTCTCAAGGCTAGAGGTTACCGTGCTGTCCCTGTCGGAGAGTGTCTTGGAGATGCCCCAGAGAATTGGTATGTCGATGCCAAGGGTACAAAGTCCGGTACGTCCAAACTCCGAGAAAGGGACGCCTATAGTGAGTGATTGCGACATTTTCTGAGCCAATTGCTGATCTTCTTCTGAACAGAGCCTTCGCCATACTACCCCCCACCTCCCCCTTCTCCTTCAGGGGTAACCAGAGATGGTACCTGTGGTGCCAAGAACGGTCTCAAGTGCAAGGGATCCAAATGGGGAGACTGTTGTTCCTACAACAACTTCTGGTAAGTCAACAGTATTGGTGTCCCTATCATAGAAGCCACGACTAACATCTATTCTCTTAGTGGTTCAACATCAGCCTACTGTGACGGCGGATGTCAATCCCAGTATGGAAAGTGCAACAAGTTGAAGGCCAACGACCGGCTCATTATCTCGGATAATGGACTCTGCGGTGAGAAGTATCACCAGACATGCAAGGGCTCTCGTTATGGCAACTGCTGCTCCAAGAATGGCAATTGGTAAGTTCCGCGTGGTCTACCTCTTGCATTTTCTTCGTACTAATAGTATCTCTAGTGGTAAGACGAGCGCATACTGTGGAAGCGGGTGTCAGAGTGGCTTCGGACAGTGCTCCTATTCTTGAGGAGTCGGCATATGTCGTTTAGGTTAGCATCTTGGTCTATAAGCCATCATATAGGGCTATCGATTATGGCTTTAGGATTAATGGTTGGTTTGGATATCTATGGATCTTACGCAGGGGTCAGACTGCTTTCATTCAGAACTTCTCTTTGCCTTGGGCAGACTCCAAGAATCTCTACACAAGACTAATACAATCATTTCTAGAGTTCATTGTAACACAGAAGTTTGTTCATACTGTCGTTCCCTATTGTTGCCTTGTACAACAACTCGGGTGGGTATCCGAGGAGTTACAGAAGAGGGCTCAATTCTCAGTTCAGTCGTGCCAAACAGACACGGCCCAGGTATTGAGTCGTAGTCATAGGATTTGTTTTGTGATTGTGAGTTCTCATACAGATCGTATTCAAACATGTCACCGTAAGAGACCAAACCAAAGACGGTAAGCTTTATCCACGGCAAACACTTCAGCCTTGTTCTTGTCAGCACAGCCAAAAAGCAAATCCCTTTTTGTTCAGTGACGTGACACCCTACCTTGGATGTCATCAACGGACAACTCCGTCCCTTTGTTGTTGATGCCAGGGTCTTTGACCTCCTCCAAATCTTTTCTGTCGACACCACAACTTCGCCAATGTCCTTGTGACAGGACTCGGCGCACAAACAGGCCGGAGGGTTGTTACTATTACAGAATCTTGGTATTGTCAGTCGTGGAAGCCTGAGATACCGCGGATCTAGCCAGCCACGCGGCAGAAATGCATGTAGCCGCTGTATCGTGTTTTCTTACGGGAAAGTTACCTCTTTTGTTATTGAAGATGGATACGTATAGCGGCTCTATGCATGTTTATCATCAACACTTCATATCGGCTCGGAAGCATAGCCGCGGATAATGAAACATGAAAATAGAGCTTGTTTGGCCTCATGCAGACAGACAGACGGACAGACACATTCACTGATTGTTGTCATATTTGGCTCTAACTCAAAGACTCGACCATGTGGCAGACGTTGTGACAGCCCAAACCAACAGAAATGACATCGACAGGTACATCTTGGCAACGCCTGCGAAGATTCTCTTAGCTCTCCCCATGCAGTTTGTTCGTCAAGCCCGGATCCTTTCAGCCGCAAGTATCAGCCAACAGCTCTTACTTGCACCAATCAGTTTGCCTGCAACTTGACACAATTGTCGAAGATCCGGGGGGTTGTTTGTCAGTCCTTATCTGTAAGTGGTTGAGACAACGTCAAAGCGCTCTCAATCTGTGCTTGACAGCGGTGTATGTACCGATTTTCATCTGGTTCTCATATCGGTACTTTATGACAGAATAAGCGCCACCGCTTCTGCAGAAGCGAAGCACGTCAGATTATCTTGTGATTCATGTTGGTGATAGATCTTGAGATAGTATACTGACGAATGGTAAGTGAACATATCAGAGAGTCTACTTGAACTGTAAGATCAATTTCATTGAGACAACCAACAATCATTATTAAACGAGGCCGCTACATATGACACGGAAGAATCTAACTGAATGAAGTTCTGGCCGCATTGCCATGTCCGAAGCGATGGTGTTGGTGGAAGTGTTGATATTCTCATGCGCAAATATAGCTTCACAATCAACACTCCCCAAAGGAGTACAAGATTGGTCTATGACTCATTTCTTAATTGAGATTCTGTATCGCCTTGCAGTCTATGCGTAAGACATTAGGGTCCCAAGATAGACAGAGGTGTCACCCTAACTCATCTAAGCTGGTGAAGATATCATCATAAAGATAAACATATTTACTCCCCAAGCTTTACTGACTTTTCAATAACAAAATTCAATCATTGTTGGTCACTGGGTGCAAGCCTTCATCTTACGCAGCCTATTATCACTGTAGTTGTAGTGTACAGCCTTAGCTGCCTTACTCATTTGGTTACTTGGCGTCTATGCTTTGGTGGTACTACTAACTTAACTCAGCTCCCTTGTCTAAGCGCAGGGACCTCACAACGTGTATCAGAACAAAGGAGAGATCGCAATGTTCCTGGATCTTGCCTGGATCTGGATCTTGATTTCTTTCCGTCGTGCATTCGATTCGACCCCCGTGCTTCTCGTACCCTTCCATGTACCTGTGTTTTTCCCAGTGTCACACAACCGTTTGCCTGCAGCACTACATCAACACCATACGCCTCCATCTGGGTTCTGGGCCTCCAATGTCTGAACCAACAGCTTCTTTCTCTTCTCAGCTAAACTTGTTCCTTGATAGTTCGTCATTGTCCTTGTCAGCTTCGGGTCCGAGTTGGATACCATAAAAAGTAACTTCCCACGACACCCTCTCGCTTCGCAGACCGTCTGATGCTATCTGCCTCAATACCAAATGCGTGGGGTCGGTGTGAGCTACAATCGACCAGGGAGAAGCTGTTTGCTTCGACGAACAAGGACATGCCATGTCATGTACCCATTGTACAGTGTGTGAGGCGTCAACGGTCATTCATGTCCACAAACGCCCCTCGAGGCATGCCACATGGAAACCTGCGTTGAAGGGAGGTCCAAGCTTCAATAGCCCTGGTCAGTTAGGTAGTAATTGCATGTTACAACAACTCCGAATTGGGACGGCTAACGACATGGCATCGATGTCGATCAACTACATACCGTAAAGACAAAATCAGAGGGTCGACAAGACTCAATCAAGACGTGGGCACTGGTGCTTTGCATTAAGAAATGCTAATCTGTTCGAATCCCAGTAGAAAACCATAGGCCAGCCTGTAGATATACACGGTATAGTACAACACAGTAGACCATACACATTCCAGCGATTTGCTCGCAGCTTCTCGAAAATTTGTACACACTCAGATGATATGTCCTTGGTCTCTGGAAAGACTATTCGAGAACTCGCCCAGCTCTATTTTCTGCAAAAGAGCCTTGGGGCCCAACCGATGCCCGCGATCAAAAACTGTACCCTCAGTCTGTTGAATAGAGACAGGAATGGTGAAATGAATAAAGAAAAAATAAAACCAAAATAAACGAAACAATCCTTTGCGCGCAACTTCATGAAGGGGTAGTAGTAATCTCACAGAACCCTCAACTTTGTAGGCTCTTTTCCCTGAACGCCCCGAACAATCCCGTAGTTTGTCATTAATAATAACCCCGAGAACCACAAAGACCGGGAGACTTATAGCAAGCCGTTCCGCTGTGTGCCGCTTTTGTTAACAATTTGATGTTTTTACTCCGAAATAAGGAAAGGCGGCTTCCACGATGGGCATTGAGACACCATCTCCGTCACTGCCGTCAGAGAGGATCTTGATGTTGGTGGAAACCGTCACTTTTAAAGTCAACGTTCCCGTCAAAGGTCATGTTACCATTAAAGTCAATGTCCTCGTTGAAACCAGCATTGGCACTCCCATCGGGGGTCATGATGGTGCGGTTGTCGTCAGCGTTCGCGGGTCTCTGGCCATCATCCTACATGACTGTCGAAGCCAGAAGGCGCTGTTCGACATCATCCATGCCCATACCATCCATACGAGGACCTTCCATTCCTTGAAGTCTTTGCTCAATTGCCTGGAATCGCGGTTCGTAGCCTCCAGCTCGCGCCTCCAGATTCTCCATGCGCTTTTCGATGTTATCAAGACGTTGTTCGATGCGCATTAGACCCTGAGCCATGTCGTGGCTTAGGCGGTCAAGCTTGTTTGTGAAGGATCGGATAGATGTTGCGAGCGGCGCGTTCTCCTGACCAGGCGTACCAGCAGGCACTCGTGGTTCATGATTGTGACGTCCCTCTTGAATAGCAAAGCGCCATTGGTTTCCAAGCTGGACTTCGCAGACAGCTTTGGCACGAAAGGGACAATCGATCTTGCGCGTAGAGGGGTTGCGCTTCTTAGCAGTGCTGTTATACTTGACACCACCGCGGTCGCAAACAAGATCGTAACGTGTGGGCTTGCCGTCGCGGTAGTTAGAAGCGCGCAACTTGACGATGCCGTAGCCCTGGTCCTTGGCCACGCGCTGTACTGAAGCCATCAAATCATCGAAGGTCCTAAATATCCCTTCTGGTGGGGGTAATAGCGCTGGAGGTGGTGTATTCGTCGTCATGGTGAGTGATTGAGCCAGGGTGACGGTTGTAACGGGTAGTTTGGGTAAAGTGGGGGGAGGCAAAGAGTTTGCCCAAAAAACGGTTTCTTTGAGGTATAAGAGGTCTAAAAGGAGAGGCGCAAAGATGATATCGCGTATAAACGAGATGTGCTGCTGTTGGTCGTGGTCGCGGTGCAAGTGTGGATGTATGCAAGAGGCTGGGCTGTGAGGACTTTTCCAATCCGCACTGTCGAACAAGTATGGAAACTAACAAGGTTTAGTGTTGATCCGGTCCGGGCAAGACGGCCCAGTATGAAGCCAAGCCTGCACAAGGGCGGGGCACTAGATGCAAGCTGGGAATACTGGGTTAGAGGTAGTGTACGTACCTGGCCTGGAGCTTCTTTTCGCGCGTCAAGAGGGCAGTTGCAGGTAAGGTAACAAGCAAGCTTTCGGTGATGGGGAAGGTATCCGAGGTACAGTACAGTACCTGACTGTAGATGATTGTTTTTGGGGGGTGTGGAAGACGACGCGGGTATGGTACGGTAGGTAAAGTACTGTAATGGGATGGAGACGGAAGCTCGTGGAGCTTTAATCAATCAATGATCGATCAAGTACTGTAAGCGGGTGGCAGAGAGTGGGTTACATGCGAATGCAATGAAGGAGTGAAGAATTGTGATGGAATTCGATGCAATGTGGTTGTCTTGTACTGATATAAATCAAGTTCTGAAGGAAGGGGTGTGAAGCTTCACGGCTGGCAAGGACTACCTACTCCCATCCCATGCCAAGCACGTGATAGACTGAATGAAGCGTTTGGGTTGGTAGAGAGACAGACATCTTTGCTCGTAGTGGTAGGCAACGGGCGGACGCAGCGATGCGGGCTTTGTGGAAGTGAGGAGGACCGCAAATTGTTTCAGAGATATTGGATGGGTTGATTGGCATGATTGATTGATAGAAGTCTTCATTCCTATGTCAGTGAGTGATGCGTTGCGTTTCGTTTTCCATCACTTAACAAAGAACAAACGTCACTCACAGCTAGTCATCGACACGGTGCGGGCTCATCTTCCCCAAACCCAAACAAGCTCACTAGGTCCAGTTCCACTCCCCATTGTTTTGGTTCCTGTTCCCGTTCCTGTTCCTGGTTCCTGGGCCCTTGCTTTATCAATTGAGGCTTCCAAAACGACATCCAAATATCGCAGTATTGGCTTTCTCATTCTCGTCTCACTCAACCCACTGCCTAAACTCAATAATAAAACGTTCAAACACAGTAGGTAGGTAACTCTAACCCTCTGAATGCGGCGGTATAAGTAGTACCACCGGTCAAAGCTTCTTCCCATCCCCCTTAAAACTTGCCCCCACGTCACGCAAGGCAAAGACGACAGCCCGGGCAGGACAAACGAGACACTCAACTTCTGTACTGTACCTACCTAGGTATGTATATACCACGGCCATATGCATCTACGTCTTGACTTCTAGAACAATTCCCTGCATCAACAGAGTCAACAAGCACTGACCATTCAGACTTTCGTATCCATCCCGGAATAAAAATAGAGCCTTGTCCACTTTTGCTTGCCCGATCTTTTCCCAATCCTCCAGAAAAGACTCTCATTTGCCCATCGGACTACGGCCGGCCACGGTCTCGTGTTGCCCATCAACCCCTTCAAGCCCCCGGAGACTCTACATACGTTTGAACGGGCATACTACCCCATTCGCAACTATGAACCAGCAGCCTGCCGCCCAGAACCAGCACCAGGCGCAGGCTCAGGCGTCAAATGCCGCCGGGCAGGATGTCTGGGATGAGCAGCAACTCGAGGAAGCCATGAAACGGCTCAAGCTACTGCATATCAAGGTAACGTCGTTTTCCAACACGGGTTGAAAGATGCAGGTGTGCTGATCGGGCTCTTATCTCAGGTTCGACGTCTAAATGACACCATCCCCAAGATGATCAAACCGCTTGTGCAGAAGCAGCCTTCACGTAGGTCACACAATTTGTCCTTACTCTGAAACATCTTGAACTGACGCATTTTCTATATCTAGCCGATGTCATGTTTGCTGCTTTCATGAACTCGGTCAATGAAGCGCAAGCCAACATCAAAGAAGTCACTGATTTGATGCGTGATGAGAAGAGCCGTGAGGTGTTTGCCCAGGCTAAAAAGAGAAGAGCAGAGGAGCCGGAAGGTATTGAGAGCTGGGAATACTACGACCATCCAGATTGGTTCAAAGAGTGATGCATCGGATCTACTTATGATGCGGCGTTTGTGAGTTCTACTTGGGATCGGTGCTGTTGGCGTTCTTCTATGGTTGGGTCATGTCTTTTCTTCATGGGCTGGTGCGTTTTTGCAAAATTGGGTAATACAGGTACTGTTGAGACTAAATGTTCGTTATCTTCGTTACCTTGATCAACCTCAAGGCTGTAATTTATGATCTTATATTGGTTGCTGGACAAGAGGCACGGTTATTACTCGTTTCCCACTATTTTAGTAGCCAATCCCGAAGGTTTTCCATACTTGAAGTTGAGCCTCAAGATGGAGACTGTGGCTGTGACTCAACCCTGCAAGTCGATCAACAACGCATTCTGAGAGCAGATATCTGTAGGCGGTATTTATGAAAGATGAGGTATGTTCCGTCGCAGAAGGACCCTGCTTTTCACCCAAATCCGTACTAAGGGATGAGATGGTACAATCACTAGTTTGAGGATCAACCTTGAGTAACGTTTGACCTCGAGATGCACCACAAATAGGGTCATCAGACAAAAAAAAAGCTAGGTGCTTTAATAACGGCAAACTGACTTAAGAAATAGTATTATACGAATCATTATCGTTTTCATCATTCCTTTCCGAGTAATTCTACAACTTGTTTCGATACTGCTAAACAGAAACAGTTTAGATCCACAGCCACACCCTTCCCTCTCCGCTTGTCGAGGTCACGTGGCTCAAGGCCCTGAGGAAAGTGCCACCCACCAAAAAAATTCCCAAATTATCCACGATCCAGAGAGTCAACTCTTCGCCCAGCCGTCACCACCAAATTTTCCACGTCGACAACCTCAACCGCCGCAAAGATGGTCAACATGCGCGTTCAGTACCGCCGACGCAACGGGCAAGTACTCGCCTTTGCTCGCTCGAAATCGAATCGACGAGCTGTATATCTTAGCCCGAGGCCATATAACTAACAATTTGTCGCACAGCTACAACACCACCTCCAACCGAACCCGAGTCATCAAGACTCCCGGTGGTGATATCCGTCTGCTTCACATCAAGAAGCGAGGCACCGTCCCCAAGTGCGGTGACTGCGGCTCCAAGCTCTCTGGCGTAAGTGCCTCTCGAAAACGATGGGAATTTTGTGCAGTGTGATGCGGGACAACAAGACGAAGACGAGACATGGGCATTGGGTGGCATGGACCGAACGATCAAGATACAACACCGCCGACGAAAGGATGCACACATTATGGTGATCCTGCATGACATTGGACGACTTGTCAAAACCAGCCCGCGATTGTTGTCCCGTTTCATCACCGCAGAAAATTCTCGACATTCGTTCGAAAGCTTGGAACTAACTCATATCTCTTATAGATCCCCGCTCTCCGACCCCGCGAGTACTCTCAGATCTCCAAGCCCAAGAAGACCGTCCAGCGTGCCTACGGTGGTTCTCGATGCGGTAACTGCGTCCGTGACCGCATTGTCCGAGCTTTCCTCATTGAGGAGCAGAAGATCGTCAAGAAGGTGTTGAAGGAGCAGGAGCAGAGCCAGAAGAAGAAATAAATGCAATCCTAGTCGGATTTGGCTTTCTGCGTGGGAATGGCAAGGACCTCTGGGGATCTGGTCCATTGCTTTGGTGTTCATTAGGCAAAAAGGGACTGAATGCATGATACATCGGGCCGCGGCCAGAATGGACGGCCCTCTGCTGTCTTAGGACTGCTACTATCCTCTTGGTGACTTGAATGACAAAAGAACATCAAGCTGGCGTGGACTGCTACCATTCGCACGCGTGATGAAATTCTGTGGGCTGGTCAATATGTGTGCCCCCAACGCATATTGGCGTGATGTGAATTAAAAGATACTGGCGCCTGATGGTCAAAATATACAAGCCTGAAATTTTCCATATTCGCACCTAATGTTTATCGATGACTTTTTTCGAAATGATATCCATATTTGCCGCGCTTAAAGTGTATGGGCATAGACTACCTACAATTCCAACATCATGACGTGCGGGACCTCGAAAAAATACCCGTTCCCCACGTAGCTTCATATCTCTATGACCTAGACTATCCCAACTTCAACATCCAAACTCCGAGCCAGCTCTCACGCGCACATTCTACCTTGGGTTATTCACACAACAAATATTTTCTAATTGCTACAAGATCATGGTGTCACGAAGCCTCGTCCCCTCGTGCAGCGCGCAACGTGCTGTGCGCCAGGCTCTTACCCAGGCTCCTCGGCCTAGCCCGCGTTCCTCGATCGCAGCGTTCAGAATCACAGCGTCACAAGTACAGTCTCCTCTGCAAGCCTCTATTCGAGACCGCCGGCTCTTCCATATAATCCCTAGTAGGAGAAAGGACCAACAGCCGCCCGCGCAACCTCCCCCAACCGATTTTGGCGAACTCGACGTGCTCGGCAACACTCCAGCCCCTTCAACCTCGGTCGACGTGTGCATGTACGATGGTTTTGGGCTCAACAGTGGCATTACGATTACGGGCGGCAATGGTGTTCTGTTGATCGATGGAGAAGTGTTCAAGTGGCGCCCATGGGAGGCCAAGGGCTCCATGAACCTCGTCAACAAGAAAGGACAATTCGAGCTCCCACCCAATGCATTTGCGCTCTTTGACCTTCTATACCCTCGACCTGGTGGGTGGATTCAAAGTTTCTGCTTTTCTTATGGACAGACGGCGACGCTTCCAAAAGTACTTGTGCTAACAGAGTTACAGATCTTCTGATTATTGGAGTCGGCCCATCAATCATGCCATTAGCTCCCGACACGAGACGAGTCATATCTGAGCTCGGCATGCGAATCGAAATCCTAGACACAAGGAATGCGGCAGCGCAGTTTAACCTGCTGGCTACAGAGCGAGGTGTATCAAACGTGGCGGCTGCTTTAATACCAATTGGATGGCAGGACGGAGTTGGAGCGAAATAAGAGCATAGCAAGAGTCATTACGACAGTGATGTTGTACACATCTGCTTGTAAGATTATAGCCTAGGCAAGGTCAATTCTTTGACTTGTATGTACTATTTAGATGTTAATGTGACGAATATGGACTACCTTGGACTCATTTACCTGCCCATGGAACATCCTGGCCATATGAAAACAACATGCGTCGGTCAAGACAGCTGTAGCATCGCAACTAATGGGTGAGCTATCGACCAGCAGAAATGTTGTTTTGTCTCTTATACTCCGATTGTCTGTTTTCGATACTCTGGCAGTGAGCTCTTGGATCTGTGACCAAAAACGCATTTCGATTACTGTAGGGTAACAAGCCATCGACAAAAGCATATCTCACAATCCATAGTGAATGTCAGTATCATTGAACACTTAACACCTCGTAAATATTCCAATAAACATCCTATTCTGTCTAAAGCTTTCAGTTTCTGTTACATCTAAGTTTTGTTGTTTGTATTGGAAGGCCATCACGGGCAAGCGACATGTACACAGACAGACAGTTGATCGCTGTTGCATCTGTTTGTCTACAAGGTCAGGCAGGCCCACACGGAAATTCACTTCAGTGGACTTCTCCAATGATGATCTCGTTCCTTCCCCAATGCAGTATTGAACCCTCTAATTGGCTACTGCGACTGCCTGAACCACCTGGGCAGGAGGTAACCTACTGTAGCAGAAAACTCAAGACCTAAGCCTGCCTGTTTGACGAAAACAAGCGTTCTAGTGGCACCTCTAAAGCCGGAAGGAATGACCAAGTTATTTCGTCACATGGGCTAATAGAATCGAGTTTTCTGCGACCCCAAGACCAAGGCACTGAAGCCCAATCTCACAATTCATCACCCAAACTTTCATGACCAAGTGAGTTAGGACTACATCTATTTCACGTTGTATCGTGTAATTCATCTGACATTTCAGTGAGACATTGCTATGCCGACCGCACCAGAATTTGATCAAGATTGGTCACGGCAATAAAAGAGACGCGAACTTGTGTTACTCTTGCGCCGTATTGGTGACTCAACAACTGCAGTCTCTGAATCTCGATCAAACTCCAACACACTTCCATACATCGATACAGGCCCCTCAGGGTGCCAGATGAATTATCCGTCGGAAACATAAAAGACTAGATAATTTGGTCACCTTGTGTCGGGCCAGAACAGCATTTGGACTATTTTATTTCGACAGCATAAGCCTTAGACGACGGCCTTTTGCGACACAGAAACTCATAACAACGCTACTATCAAAAATATCGCCTGAGCTCCCGATACTAACGACTCCACGTCATGGCTGCTCCTGCTCCTGCACAGGAAGTGGACGTCCAGGATCTTGTCGACTCCACTGACCCTCATCTCACGGACCCTCCCCTTCTTAAGGATCATTCAGAATTCAAATCTTACAAGAGTCGTGGGTTCGAATATCCTGGCATTCGTGTCTTCTACCGACAACATGCCAAAGCTGACCAACTACCCAAACCCCCGTTGCCTCTTTTGGTGTTCTTGCATGGTTTGGGTGGCTCTGTTGCTCAGTTTCACTCTTTGTTGAGTAGTCTTAAAGACGAGGCCCCTTGTCTGGCAATTGACTACCCCGGATGCGGCCGGTCTGAGTTCTCGGTCACCGATTGGGAAGCGTACACAACAGAAGCTCTGGTCGACCTCTTAGACATCATAATCAATGATTACCGGGACAAAGATGCGGGTCAGCGCGTGGTTCTGATCGGCCATAGCATGGGCACTGCTTTGTCTGCGAGACTGGCCAATGCTAAGCTTTCACGCAGCAGTACCATTTCGCAATACGTGGTGGGATTGGTAGCCATTTGCCCCGTAGCAGAGCCTTTCAATGAGCGGCACACACAGTTAGCAAGGAGGGCCTTGTGGATTCCAGATTGGTTGCTCAACTTATGGCGAGCTTGGGATGGTTGGGGTGGCTCCGAAAGTGCAAGTGTGAAGCGTTTCGTTGGTGAGAGTGCCGATGAAGCCACTCGAAAACTACAGTATCGCTTCAACAGGCAAAGCCGTACACCGGTCTGGAGGCGTATGGCAAACGGCGCGCTACCAGTCTACAACGATGGCTTGCCCACAGGCGGTATCCCAACTCTGGACACTTGGGCAGGGCTGGATATCCCCGTGTTCCTGATAGCTGGTGAGAAAGACAACGTTGTCTCGCCAAAAGAAGCCGATAAGATCGTGAAAGTCTTGGGCTCCGAAAGGACATCTCCAGCATCGGAAGGCGAGAGCGAGACGAACGATGCCACTGTTGAAGCTGCTGCTTCTGCTGATACTTCAACACGATCAAACGACCATCGCCCTCAAACTATTGAGGAAATCACAGAAGACGACTTCACAAAGGTCAAAGACCCAAGCATTGTGACACCCCCTGAGGGTGGCAGTCATACTGATCCTTCCACTCCGAACGAGAACATGACCGAGACTAAGCTGCCTCCACAACCGGATCACCCTAAGAAGGTTGTTCGGTCTGTCATAATGCCCGCCCCTGCAACACACGCTGTGTTGTATACGCCTTGTTCGGTCCGAGCTGTCGCCGGCTTGATTTCCGAATTCCTTGCTACGAATGTCACAGAAAGATTATCTCTTGCCTGGCAATTGCAATACCTTTCCCGTGAAGGAAAATGGGACGTCAAAAACCTCAACAAATGGAAATCCGTCAATCCCGTATCTGACCCGATTGGACCTGCGGGGAAGCCGGTTTTCCGCGCCCTCAAAACGCTGCGTGAAGCGGATGATGTGCATTGTCCGCAGGAATTTGTTGCAAAATGGGGCTCTATTGTGAAAGATGTTATTGACATCTCAAAAGATCAGCCTGTTTACGACCCTCGTGGGCTCGACAGGGCTGGTATACATTACCATAAGTTTCCGACCGTCTCAAAGATCCCACCGCTACCAAATGAGGTCGAGGCTTTCATTAAGCTAGTTGATGAGCTCCGCGAGAAGCAAGCTGAGCGAGCCGTCACAGAGGAATGGGAAGATCCAGAGAACTGCGTCATTGGAGTCCACTGTCATTATGGCTTCAACCGTACGGGATACTTTATTGTGTGTTATCTCGTTGAGCGGTGTGGATTTGATGTTGAAGAAGCTATCAAGACATTTGCCGAAGCGAGGCCTAATGGGATTCGTCATTCACACTTCAAGGATAGACTTTATATGCGCTATAGCGTCTGAAAGCGCTGCTGGCTAAAGTATTTTATCGCCTCAGTGGACAATTCTTCTCTTACTCACCCGACAGATACGACACGAGTACTATGAACATCGAATTGCCTTGGTTTTGTTTATCGAACAAACTGCAGTTAGCGTAGTCTTTGCTTTACCATGTGTTGCAGAAGAAGCGTTTAGAATCGGAAGAAATACATATCAATACATAATTTCATGCTCGACTCTTTTGTACTGGTACATCTGAGTATGCTATTCTATCTCGTATTGTCCACCTCTTTCATGAACCATAAATTGTCCAAACCGTAAGTTAATTGTCGTAAAACCCGTTAGTTCTCAATGGCATGGTACTTGTTTCCAAGAGACCACACCTCATCCAGCGCCTCCATACCTGTATCCTGAACAGCGGCCTTGCCCATCTTATCCTGCAATTCCGAAGTGATGGCGTCGACGTCAACCTCGAGGTACTCGCGCAGATACTTACCAACGTCGGTGTTCTCCACGTTGCCACGGAGGTTCTCCGTTCGAGACCCACCAGAGCTGTAGATGTTGACGTCAACAGCGGTATGGCCGTGAGTGCTCCAGCCGATATGGGCGCGGAGGGAGATGAGGGCCGAGAAGAGAACGAGCGCGTTCTCGGGATGCTCAGCAATCGCAGTGATCTCCTTGTCGGAGGCATTGGAGATTCCAAGACCGCGGACGATAAGTTCATCGTTGATGTACTTCTTAAGCTTCTCCATGTTTTTCTTGGCCCCAGATTCGGAGACGAGATGGGCATTGAGCTTTGCATGGAGCCACTCAGCTGAGGCAGTCGCGTTGGCAAGGACCTTGGGGAACCAGTTGTAAACAGGGAGGTGGCCAGGTTCCTGAATCGCGGTAGCCAGACCGCCTGTTTCATGATCGCTGGTTGCGACGAGGACAGTCTCAGTCTTGCTCTGCTTGATGAAATCGAGAACGGCTCGGAAGGTCTTGTCGTACTCAAGAACCTCGTGAACCTGAGCGGCAGGATCGTTGATGTGACCAGCATGGTCAATTCGGCTGCCCTCAATCATGATGAAGAAGCCCTTGTCACTCTTCTCAGTAGCTTTCTCGAGGGCGCGAAGAGCAGTCTTGGCCATTTCGCTCAGCGAGGGGTAGACGTCGTTGTGGTTTCGGCGGTCAATCTCGAAAGGAATGTCCGTTGGGGCAAACAGTCCGAGAAAAGGCAGCTTCACGTTGTTGCCACCCTTAAGAGCGTCGAAACCGGCGCGATCATCAGTGTAGGTCCAGTTGTGCTTCTCCTTTGCGATCTTAACAACATCCGTGTCGTCAGCTCGGCAGCTGCCCTCTGCGCTCTTGGGCAGGTAATTGCAGCGACCACCGCCAAGCATGAGATCAACTGTTCGACCGAGGACACCCTCTCCAATCTGCTGAAGAGCGATTTCATCTTCCATTTCACGAAGCACAACATGCGAGTTAAAGCAAGCCGGAGTCGCATCCTAAGTAGTCACCATTAGCTTCGCCGTCCCTAACTCAGGAACTTCCGGGATTGTTCGTACCTCAATTTTGGTAGTCACAACAAGACCAGTGTGATACCCAGCACGCTTGGCAGCCTCTAAAACGGTTCCGCAAGGATCGTGGTTTGGTAGAGTAGAAATGGCACCGTTGTAGGTCTTCTTGCCGCAGGAGAAAGCGGTGGCACCAGCAGCGCTATCTGTGACGAGGGAGCTGTTGGAGCGAGTTCGGCTCGTTCCCCAGAAATGCTTGTCCAGTGTAAGGGTATCGCCAAAATGAAGGTCTTCCACATGTTGTCGGTAGCTGCGCGTCAAAGATAAGGAAGCAGGACCCATGCCATCTGACACCATGAAGACAAGATTTCGCTTCGTAGCAGGCGTGTTGTGGTCATGCTTGGTCTGCTGCTCATGCTGAGTCCAAATAGCAACAACAATAACAGCCGCAGTAGCGATCAAAGCCCAAGCAAACAGACCAAGCTCACGGAGGCGCGAGTTTCGGACAGCCTTGCTTTCGGCGTGGGAACGGTCGTGGCCAGAGCCGGACCCGGATAAGAGAGGATCGCTTTCGTTGGCCTGAGGAGAAGACATTGTTAGCTACCTCAGGACTGAAGGGATGACAAGTGCTGAGTTGAGGAAAGAAGAAGAGGAGGGAGACAAACCATTGTATCTGGCCGCGTAAGAAGGGAGCGTTGTGCAAGGTTGAAGAAGGCAAAATGGTTGGAAGGCGACTACGGCATTGTCGCACATGCGACACGGGCTGTTAGAGCTGCACGCGGGGAGCTCTAGCTGTGACTTGGAAAGCTACAATACAGGGGGGCTAGCGTTCCATTATCAGTGGAGCCTGTGACATCAGTAGGTTTTGTGGGTGGAGCGGTAAAAGAAGCCGTTTGTTCGTTGTTGATCAATTATTGAAGATAAGAACCAATTATGATAAGTTGCCTTGATCACGGGAACGTAATTCTGAGACGTATGCAGAGATCACAAGATGCGGCTTCTGCTCGGGTTCCTTAATCCGCATCTACGATCTTCACGTGGATAAGCGCCAACTTTAAACGGTGAACCCTCTTTAACGTCTAATTACTCGCGTTCCCAAACCCGCGCTGCGTTCATTCATTCTCCTTTTGTGTCTATGATAGCCATCAAGGCATAGTAGAAACAGGCGATATCCGCACCGCATGTTTCAACAGGCTGCGATGATTCCCGATAAGCTGTTCGATGCGGTAATTCGGATAAGACTTTGAAACAACAAGCCCAGTCAACGTTTCTTTCTATCACAATTGCTTTGACTACGGCCATGGCGACTTTTCAGGCTTATCACTAAGAAATCGCTTCACCAAACTCTCCTAATCATGGAAGGTCAAGCGGCCAATTTGCAAGACACTGACCAAAGTAGATTCATCCACATATGCTCATAACGGCTCAGCTCAAATGAACGGACATGATGGAGCCAATGGCTGCTGGAATAAGAGTGACAGCTTGGTGTCACAGGGGAGTTTGTGGTTCTTCCGGCATGCCTGGAGCAACCCATCTGCACGTTGCTTCTCGGAACGAGTGATGACGGCTGTCAAACAAGTTCGCTAGGAAAGAACTGCTACACACAGGCTAGGGGCTAACTGACAATGGATCATCAGGGGGGAGGAGATGCGCAAACTCTTTATACAGTCGGCGAAGTCGCTGGCCCAGTGCCTAAGACGGAGAATCGACAACAAACGACCCTTCGCGCTTTCAAACGATATAGGATATTGACCATGATATGTCCTGATCATACGCAGCCAATTCGCCCAGAAACTGCACCGAAGCTCCGACCAGCACAATCGTTATGCTTCTCGTTCTTTGGAATCGCTCATGCTACTCAAAGAGCGAACGAAACATACCAAACAACTCAAGACGCAAATCAAGATCTGAAATGCCCATATGTGTGGCTACGTTCTATTCCTAAACCTTTGCGGATGTTTTAGGGAGCTTCTGTTCGACACGGCTTGCCCCCTGATATACCAAGAGATCAACCGCATCAACGATGCGGAGGCATGGACAGCGGACACGATCAATGAGCTGCCCTTTGATGTTCCGGATTGTTGCGCTCCTGGATGGCACAACACGTGGATTATCCCGAGCTATGGAGTTTGCTGCCCTCAATGGTGGTCCAACTGTCCTTCTGTCACAGTACCTGGCTACCCACAGTTTTGCAACACCGAGGAGGGAGGAAGTTGAACTAGACGATATTGTACGATAAGGACGGCGAAGTAGAGAAGACCAGCGCAAGCTGAAATGGACGGGCATTATGGCTGTAACATTAGCAAGGGTAATGGTGGCACATAGGGGATGTTGATTTAATTTTTAATGTGTACTGCCTAAGTATACCAGGTTCAATCACAATGGTTTCTAATCCTTGGGTTCTCAAGCTTAGCTGTTGTCAACAACCCGGAGATGCCATCACTGGGTGGGGTGTTGCCCAAAGCTGACGTCGGGATTGCCTTGATCGTACAGCTTTCTGAAAAGAGAATCGTGCATCTCCATCGCTCACGTAGTAACAGATTCTGCCAGGACCAGACATATACCCTATTACTTCGTTCTAAGGGGATCAAGTCAGACCGAAGATGCACCTTGTGATCTCGAGTACCAGGAGTAACGGAGTTCAACGAGAGAAAGAATTGTATTCTAGTTAAGCTGCCATACTAGAGGAAATTGATAGTAGGATGATGATGGGGTCATTGTAGCCGTGATATTTCATGTTTTGATATACTCTAGGTAGGTAGGTAGAATAAACATGAAGGCAATAAAAGAGTCATGCCTTGCTTGACAACCTCGTCGCACAAACCAAGACGCTAAGGTTTCTGTATAGATAGTTGTATAACCTCCATATGCGGTGCAACAATGCTGCGCCAAAAGTCCTGGCCTCTCCAAGCTTTCTGGCTGGTTATCGTTTATTGTTGTATTTCTTGATGGTCTGTAGCAACTGCTAAGTTTCGTCTTGGCTGCATAGTCTGTGCCGAGGCGGGATAAATGTGGATATGAAGCTTGTTATGAAAGCTTAGCCAAAAGAGGATGAGACTGCTCATCGACGATTGGGCGTGGGGTTTTCGCGTGCCTTTGTCCGAGAATGACATCGCCAGAATGTCATGGTATGGATGGTCGAGAACATCTTTTCCCCCTAATGACGGGTAATCGGCTTCAGCTTTATGACTCCTCACTCATAATGCGCCAATAAAGCTTGCGACTCACTGGGTTTATTGGTTGCTTTTGTTTCATGCCAGTGAAGGCCCCTTATCCCTAATCCTTCTACGGTTACCGATGCCACTTTCACTTTCGGGTGCTGGTACTGGTGCTTACGGGCTATCCTTCCCTTCCCCTGCGTCTGCGTCGCGAAATGCATCCTTGAATTTATTTTTGTTCGAGGCCCGTATCTTTTAGCTCCAACACCAAAGTTCCGTCTTTGCATCCGACCTCAGCTGAGCTGATGGTTTATTCTCAGCGCCAAACTTATTTTCTCCGTCTTTACTCAATAGTATAAAGAAAGTCCTTAGTTTTCCCCTCCCGCCTGTATATCGAACTATTCCTCCAATGTCGACTTCAAGAGACTTCGCTATCCCAGCGGAGCAGGACTCCTCAATGGACAACGACATAGAGCAAGAAGGCCGCCCGAGCCAGTCCTCTAATACCAATACCTCTGACGAGAAGGCCGAGCAACATGTCCGCTATAACCTCACCCTCAACACGCAGAATCTCTCCCCACCCCCGGCCGAGCCTATACGACCAGTACGATCCGATACCGAAATACATCGCGAGATGAACTTTTCCCCGTCAATATTGCGTCGCCGAATCAGTCGCGCTCCGACGTTTAAGACGGTCGACGACTTCGATGAGTTCGAGACATTTGGCGATCGCCCCGGCTGGCAACCTGGTTCCGAGCCCGGTTATGACCCTAAGCTCCCCGATGGAGGACATGCTTCCATGCCTGCACTTCAAGCCCAATGTGAAATCTCCGTAATTGACTTTTCACAAGACGGTATGGTCAAGCGCCACTTCGATAATGCGAGTTTCATAGCCTTCTTGGATCAACCAAAGGAAGAATGGGCAAGATGTCGATGGATAAACGTCAATGGGCTTAGCTGGGATGTCATTCAGGCTATTGGCAACAAAAAGGGCCTGCATAAGCTGGCGCTGGAGGATTTGATGCAGCTTCGAAACCGAACAAAGGCTGACTGGTACCCAAATCATGCCTTTATCGTCTTGACTTTGCAAAAACTTGTCCACTTGGTCGACGATGAGGACGACTCAACTGATACGAGCAGTACATACTCTTCAAAGACCCTTGGCGCGCTAAGAGGATCTATGAGGCAACTCTGGAAAAGCCGCCAGACGGCAGACACCGAGAAGAATGTATTTGAGAGTAACTTGCGGGCTCCGGACCTCACATCGGATCTGCAGGAAACAGGCATGATACGGACGTTGCAGCGATATCATGCTTCTGGAAATGAAGCACGAACAGAGTTCATGGAAAGCCACTCCTCTCTCGCGCCTTACCAAATGGCCGTGGCAGCAGAACAAGTCTCTATCTTTTTGACGTCAGACAACACCGTTATTTCCTTCTTCGAGGTCTCAGCCGGCGACATCGAGCGGCCGATCGTGACCCGTCTCAGTACCCCTGGCACAATTCTTCGCGAGTCCAACGATGCGTCTCTGTTGTGTCAAGGTATAATCGACGCCATCATTGATCTCGCTATCCCTTTGACGGCTATCTATACAGACATTATTTCAGATATCGAGTTGGACGTCCTCACATCTCCGAATATCAGTCAGAGTAAAAAGCTCTACCTCTGCATCAGCGAGATCAACAAGATGCTCAGTTTTCTGAACCCAATTGACAATGTGGTCAATGTCCTTCGCGATCACAAGACTTCCATGACCCACGAGAATGCCATGCAGGTACTTGAGAACCCGTCGTCTGGTGTCATAGTTACGCCCATGACGCATACCTATCTTGGTGACGTTCTAGATCACTGCATAATGATTACAGAGGCTCTCCAGCAGCTCAAGCAATCATCCGATAACCTGATCAACTTGATTTTCAACACTATCGCAGCTCACCAAAACGAGTCAATGAAGCAGCTTACTACAGTCACCATTATCTTCTTGCCATTGACGTTCATTACTGGGTTCTTTGGACAGAATTTTGCTGAGGAGGGGTTTCCTGAAATCCACCACGGCATTTGGTATTTGTAAGTGTGTTTCTCATCTGTTTCGAACCAAAAAGCTAACAACTCCCAGCTGGGCTTGCGCTGTTCCAACCGTTGTGTTCACAATCTTGATTATCTCGAGAGAGGCGATCTACAATTGGCTCATTAAGCTTGTGCAGAGAAGACACATCCTGACGTTGAGGAAAAAGAAGCAGAGGTCCAAGAACCAGAAGATAAAGCTAAAGATATGATTGACTATGGCGTGCATAGGACGGACGATCGAAGCATTTGGTTTTAATGATACCCGAATTGGAGACTGGATTAGGGGCAATATTATCTACAGAAAGGTTCCATATTTAAGTGTAGCGCTTATGAACAGTTTCTACTGACCGTTTATATAGATCTAGAGGTTAGTAGTTTGTTGCCAAAGGATGACCGTGGTCAGGAAACGCTAGAAACAAAAGAACAATACATTCAGTTGTTCAAGCAGCAGCACACCCATCCTCGCTTCTGATCACATCCGTCTCCAGGCTTGCATGCTCCAGGAGCACAACGATCTTTTATTTCTTGACTTTGGGTTGTTCTTGTTTGCTGTTGCCGTGAGCCTAGGTAATGATGGGCCAGCAGTTTGTGCCTAGGTATTTGGTGAATGTGCCCAACTACCGGCTTCAGCACAATTCGATTTTCGAGGACCAAACAAGAATCAGAGACATAAGTCACTTACTTACAGAAATTAACAAGATACCCATTACTGTCGTGCAGCTTTTGCGTTGAAAGAGGTCAAGTGCTTACATAAGGGTCTTGAATTCCGTTACTGTACAAGCTTGGGCCCCTGGAGCCTACAGGCAGCAACCACTACTGCCCCATTTGAAGCCTCACGCCCAGAATATGCTTACAACGTTCATCTGCTCACAGCCCGAACCGGGAATTTAAAATGATCCATCTCCCGACCTGAGAGTAGAGTATACACATTCTCTACATCCATTTCTATCTTGCGCTTCTCGAATTAAGGCAATTTCCAGACCAGTATTGTCTTTGGCGCATTGAGGCTGTACAGCTGGCTGCAGGTGGTTTACACCAGAAAGTAAACAAAGCAATATGTCGCAAGCCGACGACGCCAAGCATGAAGACGATATACAATATGGCTCTATGGGAGTAACCCGTGAAGAGTTGGAGGAAAAGTCAGTAATCGTCAAACATCCCAACATCAGTACTGACCGCAGTAAAGGTATCCAAACCGTCCAAGGAACCACTCAAAGACGCTCGTGTTCTCTGAGCTCTTTCGGGAGGTCTTCAACCCGCTCAACGAGAACAAGAAACAAAATGCCACTGGTGCAGGCCCAAAAAAGGCTTTCCGCGGTGTCAACAAGCTCTCCCCCCATGAACAGCGGCGGCACATTATTGAGCGCTTCATCATTCGATGGCGGAAAGAAGTTGGTCCCGACTTCTACCCTGCTCTGCGTCTGATTCTCCCTGACAAGGATCGCGATCGTGGAGTTTATGGTCTCAAAGAGAACACCATCGGAAAGTTGCTCGTTAAGCTCATGAAAATCGATAAGAACTCCGAAGATGGTTACAACCTTCTGCATTGGAAGCTACCTGGCCAGACTATGGCATCTCGACTAGCCGGTGATTTTGCTGGACGCTGTTTTGAGGTCATCTCGAAGCGACCGATGCGGACTCAGGTCGGCAATATGACAATTGCCGAGGTGAACGAGCAGCTCGACAAGCTTGCGGCTTCAACAGGAGAAATGGAAAACCTACGTGTTTTTGAGACTTTTTACAATCGCATGAATGCAGAAGAGCTTATGTGGCTTATACGAATCGTGCTGAAGCAGATGAAAGTTGGCGCTACAGAGAAGACCTTTTTAGATCTTTGGCATCCCGACGGGGATGCTTTGTTCAGCGTATCGTCAAGTCTGAGACGTGTTTGCTGGGAACTCTGGAACCCAGAAACTCGCCTTGAACAAGATGAGGCAGGCGTCGCTCTGATGCAATGTTTCCAGCCCCAGCTTGCCCAATTCCAGATGCCTGCATCTTTCCAAAAGATGATTGAGCTCCTCCGACCGACCGAAGAGGACCCCGAGTTCTGGATCGAGGAAAAGCTTGACGGCGAGCGTATGCAGGTGCATATGGTCCAAGACAAGAGCCATCCAGGTGGCAGAAAGTTTTGTTTCTGGTCACGAAAGGCAAAAGATTACACATATCTTTACGGCGATGGCCTTCAGGACGAGAACTCAAGTCTGACTAGACACCTCAAAAATGCCTTCGCCTCGGGTGTGAAGAATCTGATTCTCGATGGAGAGATGATTACGTGGGATATGGGTGTCGACAAGATAGTGCCTTTCGGCACCCTCAAGACTGCCGCGATCTCGGAGCAGCAAAACAAGTCGGATACAGACTCAGCCGGTCACCGTCCCTTATTTCGAGTCTTCGATATCCTCTACCTCAACAATAAGCCCTTGACACAATACACTTTACGAGATCGACACCGAGCTCTAGAGAAAGCGATAAAGCCTGTGCATCGCCGACTCGAAATACACAGCTACACCAGTGCAACGAATGCCGACGCTATCGAGCCTCTTCTTCGCGAAGTTGTTGCCAATGCTTCCGAAGGCCTTGTTTTGAAGAACCCGCGCTCCATGTACCGTCTCAACAGTCGAAATGATGACTGGCTCAAAGTCAAGCCTGAATATATGTCCGAATTTGGAGAGTCTCTTGATTGTATCATCATTGGTGGTTTTTACGGCACAGGCAAACGTGGTGGCGCTCTATCGAGCTTCCTATGTGGACTGCGTGTCACGCAGAATCATATACAAGCTGGTGCCAATCCTGAAAAGTGCTTCAGTTTCTTCAAAGTAGGAGGCGGCTTCCGCGGAGAGGACTATGCAGAGATTCGACATCGGACAGAAGGAAAATGGATTGAGTGGGACAACAGGAATCCGCCCTCGGAGTACATTGAACTGGGAGGAGGCGAGTCCAGGCAATATGAGCGCCCGGATGTTTGGATCCGACCCAAGGATTCTGTTGTGATTTCCGTCAAAGCGGCCAGTGTAGGACCTTCGGATCAGTTTGCTCGTGGCTTTACTCTGCGATTCCCACGATTTAGGCGTCTTCGATTGGACCGAAGCTGGAATACTGCTTTATCGCTTGAGGAGTTTCAAGAGTTGAAACAGCGTGTTGACGAAGAGTCGAAGGAAAAAGCGATGACGGTGGAGGACAGGAAGCGGCGCAACCCCAAACGAATCAAGAGAGAACTCACCATCGCCGGAGAGGATACAACAGCTGCCGAGTTGACGGGGGAGACGACAGAATTATTCGACGGGCTGGAGTTTTGTGTTCTTTCAGAGGCACTCAAACCCTACAAAAAGACAAAAACTCAGCTCGAAGCTATCATTAAGGAGAATGGCGGCACCGTCTCTCAACGAGCGATGCCTGGCACCAATATGGTTCTTATTGCTGACAAAAAGGTGGTCAAGGTAGCAAGTCTTATCAAAGAAGGAAACGTAAATATTATCCGCCCGAAATGGCTTAGAGATTGCCTCGAGCAGGACTTGGGCGCGTTTCTTTTGCCGTTCGAGCATTCGCATTTATTCCATGCCACGGATGCGTTGCAAAGAGCGGCGAACGACAACACAGATCAGTTCGGCGACAGCTACGTGCGCGATCTGTCTATCGAAGAGCTGAGAGAAGTTATGAATGATATGCCAAAGATTGAGGATGGCATAACTTTCGACAAGGATGAGTTCGTACAACAGCTTGAGGAGCATGGAAAAGATTTGGGAAACTTGAGAAGTTTAACATTTCGACGTTGCATAGTGCTATTCCATGCGGTGGAAGCTGGCGACAAAAAGGTCTCGAGGTTAAAGCATCTCGTCAAGTACGGTGGAGGAAGTGTCACAGACGACGCCCATGACTTGTCCATATCACACGTGGTGATACAGGGAGATGACCCAATGCAAGTGGGCGAGGCGGCTGATATGGTACGAAAGGAGTTGAGCTCCAGGCGTGTACAGCCGCGAGTTGTGACAGGACACTGGGTCGAGGAATGCTGGAAGGAGAGCACATTACTTGATGAGGAACGATTTGTGGTCCCTTGAGAATGATGGGGTATGTAGCAAATGTTTTCTACCTAGCCTTTATCTTTATGTAATTGTGAACAACGACATCGAAAGCGAACTTGTCGACACGTACTCATTTACCAATGGTCAAGAATAGTCTGTCACCAACATCTCCCAAACCGGGCTTGAGCATACCATCACTGGTCAGCTCATTGTCCACTGCGGCGATCCAAACCTCACATCCCTCGGGCCACTCGGCCGCAACTCTTTGAACACCTTCATTAGCTCCAATGACAGAGAGGACAAGAATTCGCTTTGCGCCCCATTCACGAAGTGTCTGGATGGCGGCAGCACAAGTTCCACCAGTTGCAATAACGGGGTCGACCAGGATAGCGAGACTGCTGGCACCTTCGCTGGAGGATTGCTGAGGAAGGTTGTTGTAATACTCGACTGGGTCGAGAGTTGAAGGCTCGCGATACATGCCCAGGTGGTGGACTGGGACTGCATTAGGGAGCATCGTTTGCACAGCTGGGAAAGTAAGTCTGGGGATCTCATAGAGAGAAGGTTAAACGTACCGTCAACCATGCCAAGGCCTGATCGCAAGATAGGAACTAAGCACATAGTGCTTGGGTGAACTGTGGTGGACTTGAACTGAAAGCCTAGAGGTGTCTCATCCTTGGTATTGTTAACGGAGTTCTGCGTGTATAGTTTCATCACATTTCATACCTGAGATCCTTCTGTAGCTTCCAAAGATGAAGCAAGAGCCTCACAAGAGACAATCAGAGAAATCTCATGAATCAATGATTTAACCTCTCTAGGGCTAATGGACTTTGAGCGAAGCTGGCTCAGCTTGGCCCTGAGACACGGGTGCTGAGAGACATGGACGTTGGACGGTAAAGAAGCCATTGTATGTATCTTGATTCAGAAAATGTACGAATTCGTTCACAATGAGGAGTCTACGAGGAAACGATTAAGCACCAGAGATTAGATGCTGGGACGAAGCCAAGGAGAGGAAGAAAGAGAAGAGAGAAAGATAGTAAGAGGAGAGAAAGGAGATGGGAGGGGGTTTTGTATTCGAGGAAGAGGGAGCTTGGCCTTAGGGAGAGACACGTCAAGGATAACACAACATAGTACAGCACAGGCACAGTACAATACCTCTTTATCAGCATATCTTGTACTACATGGACTCTTACCGTGACAGTCTAAGAGCGATCACAAGGACGGCGGGGTAGACGGGAGCTTACCTGGAGCTAGGCATGCTAGGTACCTACAGCGGATGCCCGGAGGAGGGCGGGGTGCGATAAGATAAGCGGTGAGCTCCGTTTTGTTGATTGAGGGACCTGAAAGACAGCCCGGACAAGACAAGAACAGGGCTGTGATCGAAACGCGGTGAGACTCAACATCCATATCACTATCGATTGTTGGCCTTGCTTAGGCACCAATTCAACACTATTGGAGAAGCTGTCGCCTTGTTCTCTCTACCAGTTGCGGCTTGTTATCTCCTTCTTATAGACCCTTGTTCTCCTCCACATTCAAATCTCCACTGTCCCGCAGGATATCAGAAGAATTGACCGTCCCGTCATAAGCATCCATTAAGAGACGAAATAGTTTAGTCATCTTATGGCAATTTAGAGAGGCTTTTAGACTACTTTATTTTGGTAGCCTAATCCTTAGACCACCTAGACTGTCTCGAAATGCAGGACGCCTCCACTGCCACCGAAATAAACACGCCAGTACCAAATTCCAAAGTGGCTGTCGCTCGGGATGTTTCTTTCCTCGCGATATGCCGTCATATCCGGCAGATCTAGCCTCAAACCATAACTTTTGACAGCCAGCTATAGCGTTAATATCAACTATGACCGAACATCATCTCCGAGACAATGATTCTATACCACCAATTGTGCCGTCGCAGCACGTCCAGGTTCCTGACTTGAAGTGACTGTATAAATGCAGCGACAGAAACGCGACATGGCTAGCAATTTCCCCGACCAAAACCGGCGCTCGAGTGCTGGAGCCTACAATACACCACAAGCACACGCTGAGATCAACAATGGCAAGGGACTACCGACATCTGGTGAATACCCCAACAACGATGTTGTAGATGGCTCGGCTCAATCGCCACCACAGTCAAAGCGATGCGACCGAGGCACCTACAATGTCCCCCAAGACTATAGCGATCTGAACGAAACAAGATCTGTTCCTGCGCTCGAGACTCTGTCGCTAGAATCGACTCATGAGCAATCAAGAAGGCAAAGCAACGCAGTCCGCCATGGACCCAGAGACCAAGAATCGGAGTCTCTATCCCGAGAGACAGAGCCGAAAAAGACATCAAAGCTGCTCACTGGACTATATACGCACTCATATCTTGTGCTCTTCGCCATCCTCGGAACGTTGGCACGGTTAGGGTTGACAGCGCTAACGCGCTACAGCGGCACTCCCGTTATTTTCAACACCATCTGGGCGAACTTTACTGGAAGTCTGGTTATGGGATTTCTTGCCGAAGACCGAAAGCTTTTTCTCAACGAGTGGGGGACTCCGACATATGACGATGCTATTAAGCGTACCAAACAGAAGCGCGGCGAAGGGGAGGTCGGGTCTGGCTCCAGTCAACAGAAGGAGGTCGACCTAGAGGCGGCGAAAAGGGCACATTTAGCGACGAAGAAAACGATTCCTCTTTACATCGGACTTGCGACAGGCTTCTGCGGAAGCTTCACTACGTTTTCGAGTTTCGTCAGAGATATATTCTTGGCATTGTCCAACGAGTTGACGACGCCTGGGTGGCCAGAATCACCAACACGTCGCAACGGAGGGTATTCTTTTATGGCCATGTTAGCTGTTATAATCACCACGGTTTCGCTATCATTATCTGGCTTATTTGTGGGAAGCCATCTGGCCGTCGGTCTCGAGCGCATCACCCCTTCAGTCCCCTTTTCGCTCAGTCGGCGTGTATTAGATCCGCTGGGTGTGCTCCTTGGCTGGGGCTGCTGGCTTGGGGCCATATTGCTCGCTATCTTCCCACCTCACGAAGCCTGGCGAGGTCAAGCAATCTTCGCACTGGTGTTTGCACCGCTCGGTTGTCTTCTACGTTTTTACCTGTCCCTTCACCTCAACGGGAAGATGGCGACGTTCCCCGTCGGAACCTTCTCTGCCAATGTGCTCGGTACGGCAGTGCTAGGTATGGCGTGGGATCTTGCCCATGTGCCCTTGGGTGGAATTATTGGTTGCCAGGTGCTGCAGGGTATCGAAGATGGGTTCTGCGGGTGTTTGACGACCATTTCAACGTGGGTGTCTGAGCTCGCTGGCCTACGACGACGGAGTTCGTGGGTTTATGGCACCACGAGTATTGTTGTCTCACTGGCCTTGATGATTGCGATCATGGGAGGTCTACAGTGGAGTGACGGTTATAGCAAGCTTTTGTGCAAAGTTTAACAATCGCGATTGCAGTTTTCCTGTTCATAGTTCATAGAGTAACTGCATCGTCGAAAGTTACGTGAGCTTGTTTTCTGAGCCTATTTCTGGACTGATATAAATACCTCCTCTGCGCTCGAGGGTATCGTCTTCTCCCGATTTATTTATGAACAAATATCAGACACACAATAAACAGCACTTCGTCGACATGACGGGCAAGAAGAAGCAAAACTCTAAAACAAAACATGCTCGCCCCGCGAAGCTACAACCGCGGAAGAAGGCTCATACAACATCGGACAAGTCACCAAGTCCAGAACATCCGGAATTCGATCTACGAAGGGATTTTAGAGAAACGAAGCTCAATGAGAACCGTCTTAGAAAGGTGTCATCCTCGCCATACCTTCGCCCAAAATTCTGCGAGCAACCATCTTGCAAAGAGAAGAAAAAGGCCCGGGACGATAAACGTGATTACGGGCGAAAATATAAGAAGAAAATTGCCAATAATTGCAAGACTTATGAGTCCCTCGACATCCGCACTGCTGCACAATTCATCGAGCCTGCACCAGAAAGCACACTGGACTGGGTCGAAGACTGGTCTGCGCTCAAGACTCCCTTACCCGGTCCACTGGAGGAGGAAGAGGACGCTTGGTATACTCGCACCCGCATCATCAGCTACATCGTCTTACATACTTTTCGGGGTGTCAGAGACTGAACCAGCGAGAACGATTCAACCTCCCTGCTAAGGAGATTCAGCCCTATATGGGTCTAACGCAGCTGCAGCTCAGCCCAACGCCACTCGTTTGACCTTTGCACGGATAACCAATCGTCAGCTACGGATCTGTCTTAGGCTGTCTGGACTGTCAGCAAATGCGACCAAAGCTCGTCCAACCCCCCACAAAGTTTTGCGGCTATGCTTATGCTGCTCTGTTTATATCCCGATTGAATGTCAGCTTAGGATCCTGAGGCTGAGGCTAAGCCATCCTTAGTATTAATAGAACTACCTATACTAATCCGCACTCTGTCCTTGCCTTCTTTCCCCTCTCTCTGACCTGTCAATCTATTCCATTCTCATGTCTCGATGATCATCTCCTCAACGTGAAGCAAGAGCCTCAAAGTCACTGTCGCCATGTATTCAAGTCAAGCTGGCGTAGACGCCCACTACGCGCCTCAAGCGACAGATGATACCTTGTGGGACACTAATTCAGACAAACTGCCCTCCAACAGGAAGAAGACTTTTTACAAACCAACAGCTTTAAGATGGTACTTCATCGTTGGCCAGATCGCTTTCCTTCTGGCTGTCATGGGCCTCGTCATTTGGGCAATGATAGAGATGCCCAATTCTGATGGGACTGCGCAGATTGTGCACAAGCGGAATCCTATCGACAATCCCAACTTTCCAAGAGGAGACGACTCGAATGACTTACCCATGACCCCAATGGGACGGACACGACTGGCGACTACAGTCATCGTGAGCGACGTCTCTACTGTAGTTACAGTGCCTGGTACTACAGGCAAATATACGGAAACGATCACTACAACTGAGTATACTACACATTGGGGTTATACAACAACAGTAAAAGATGGGTCAACATTTACTAGTGCGGATGTCACAGTCATTCCAACAAAGGTCGTTACAGCAATTGTTACCACAAAGCCAGCAGAGATGTCAGAATCCATCATTACAAGCATCAGCGTTGGTTACTCTTACATATATCCCTCTGGATCTGAAACTGCCGCCCCTGGTACCTTGACATATTCGGAGGCAATTACAATTACCCAAGCCTATTCATTGCCTGGTGTGGTAGCCACTTATACCTCGACTTTGGAAGGAGATAGGACAGAAACGATTTACACCACGATTGTTGAGGATGGAGAGACAAAGACGATTTCGCATCTCATCACCGAAGCGGCGCCTACAGCATACGAAAGTGTGGGAGAGACGACTGCCTCGGCGAGCACCTATGTCTCATACGGTCGAATCACCATCACATCCGTTTATACCGATACAAACCAAAAGCCTTTGCCGAAACCTAAGCCAACAGAGAAGGCTAAACCAACTGTTATCGATGTCGTAACGGTCGATCCTGACCGCACCATTAAGAAGGTCGAAAAGCTAGACCCCACAACCTACGTGACCAAGGTTCAAGATATTGAGACGGTGAACGTGGTCATCTCTGATGGCGTTGAGACATTCGTGAGCGAGTTTGAAGCTGTCGAAACTACAGTCGATGTTGTCGAGACTGGCGCAGATGGTCTACTTACAACTAAACAAGTCGTATCTACTAAGGCCGCTTCCTTGGCAACACTCACCAGGGCTGCCGCGCCTACAACTATCGCGTCGATAAAGTCCACCGAGAAAACCGAGACGATAACATCTGACAGAACAGACTCTTCGACCTGGCTTTCTACTGTCAAAGGTGCTACGAGAACGTACGAGAAGACCACTACAATCGCTCCTACTGCCACCGGTGACGCGTCCGAAGCCGATGATACTGGCGGAGTAGTTAAAACAGTGATTACTGTATTTGAACTTGATGCCGGGAAGTATTTCTTGGGCAAGTTCCTTCCTCCTATGCTGGCAGTTATGCTCTCAATCCCTGCTCGAGCCATCGACTACAACGCGCAGCTTTTCCAGCCGTTCCACGCCATGAATCAAGAATATGGTGCGAGAGGATCGGAGTCGATGAGTCTCCATTTTGGTGGTTTGGGCAGTATCATAGAGCCTTTCAACGTTCTGCTTGAAGGTCACCCTGTGCCATTCATCACTATGACCATCGCATTGGCGTCGGCGCTTCTGGCGCCCATAGCCGTTGAAGCCATCGGTTTCAAGATGCATGGCCAGTGCAAGATCAACGCCTTCGAAGGTTGCGCTCCGGCACTTGGTGTTTCCCCGTTGTCATCGCGTATTCTTCTCGCTCTTCTGGGTCTTATTATCCTGCTTCTCTGTGCGTTGTTGTTCTGTTTAAGGGACTTTCACACTGGTCTTTATGCAAACCCCTGGAGTGTTGCGGGTATTGCATCTCTCGCTGCCAATAGAGATATTAGGCCCTGCCAGGATTCTGAGGAGAAGATCAAAAAGGAGGTGGCCGAAAAGCGATATGGGTTTGGTTTCTTTGAGAACCACGCAGGCAAAACGGAATACGGTATTGTTCTCTACGACGATGCTGGGGAGAACCTCCAGCAGGCATTGTCGCTAGAGGCTAGTTCCGTGGACACGGAAGTTGTGAGCACCGGTCGCAGGAACCCATTCTTCCTTCTTGGCCTCGCATGGCGATTGGTGTTTCTGCTGTTCCTGCTTGGTTTGATGGTATTTCTGCTGTACTACCACCTTACACTTGACAAGTCTTCGTCGTTCAAGAACTTTATGAATAGCCAAACCTTTGGTGTTCGGTTCTTATTTGCTACCTTTGGTGTCATCATCTCCTTCAGCTGGTCAGCATTCTTTGTTAGTAAGTGCTATTTTTCTGAAAAGTTGGCTGCCGAGAGACTAAAAGGCGAAATAAATTGCGCACTTTATGCCAGCTCAGGCTGGTATATAGGCCACTTTATTTTGCCGACCTAAGCCTTAAAGAACAACTTCTGCCATATCAAGACTCTTTGCTAACATCGTCTAGCTATCGCCATGGTTGTTCCATATCAAGTCATGTCGTATGGTCCTCAATCGGCTTCAAACTCGGTCCTCCTTACTCGATCCACAAACCCCTTTTCGGGTTTCTGGTCTGCCATCAAGCATCGCCAAATATTCCCAGGGCTCGTGGCATTGATGGCCATATTTTCGGAATTCATGCCAATTCTGCTCGCCAACATACCTTACTCGCTGTCCCAGGTCAGAATCTCCCATGATATCTGCGCCCGTATCTCAGTTGGAATTTTGGCTTTGATGGCTCTCACGATCATCATCAGCTTCCTTATCCGCTGGCCTGATATGCCCGTCGACCCAAGCTCCATTGCTGGAGCGATGTACTACGTCAGCGAGAGTAATATGGTGGACCACTTTAGTGGCATGGCAGCAATGGATGGTGATGACCGAAAGCAGCGTATCAGGGAACTTGGAGGAACATATGTGTATGGAGAGTTGACAACAAGAACGGGCGAGAGAAGGCCTGCAGTGGAGTGGGATGATCATACGCTGGCCTTCGGACATTCCGTGGTGCAGCAGCAAAAGACCAATGTTCTGGTGAGACATGAGACTATTGATACAGGGTATTATGGGCATTATGGACACCAATCATGATTTATGAAGGCGCTCTGGATTTTGAAAATAGGACACCTGGTTTGATGGGTTTTGAAAACGGACGGCAACTTGCACGGCAGTGGAACTTTGTTTAGGCAGTAAAGCATACATCGGGATATGAAAAAGATTAGCCATCAAGAGCATGAGGGATAGGTTACGTCGGTCATTTTGAGCGATTTTAGATCAGCAATCAGGGTACTTTATTTGGGTGCTCTATGCCTTGCAAGACAATCTCTCTGCTGTCTAGTGACATAATATCCATTCTATCCTCAAGGCGCCTGTAGCAGTTCTTCCAGGGATGCTTGGTTTAAACACATTCTCTTCATTCTTCATCTTCCTGCAACTCAGGGTAGTATCGGTAAATTCCATCCCCGTATGCTTGACGCCTATCGCTTTCGAGATATTTGCTGATGTTGGGTCTCTCTTTGACGGCCTGGTATGCTTTGAATACACCATCGTACTCGCCAGACTTTTCCATTTTTTCAACAGCTTTGGGAAAGGCGAACTTGGTACCATCGACAGCCTGGGGAGAATTAGTAAACTTTCAAGAAAGAGATTAGGTCTATGGATTCACTCACTTGGAATAGTACGAGGTCTGCATAAGTGAGACTGTCACCATACAACCATGGCCCTTGTCCGCTAGTTTTGGCGTCGAACAATCGCTGCATGTATTTGAAATACTTGGGAAGACGCTCCTTGATGAAGTAGCTAGATCTTTTCTTGGCTTCCTCCTTTTGTTCGGAGTAGTACTGGCCAACAGCAATAGGGTGATGAGTGTCATGGAGTTCATTAACAAGACCATCCATAATGGTCAACGCAATCTCGTTGAGGTGGTACACGCCATTGCCCTCTTTGGGTGCCAGACCAACTCTAGGTGCAACGTAGAGAAGGATGTTGGTTGTTTGAGAGATGAGTAGATTGCCGTGCTTGAGCGCTGGAGGAGCTAGGGCGGGAGGATTATGCTCATCGCCAACGTTATCAAGGGCTGTGAGTTTCGTGACGGCATCGAATGCCTTCTCTTGGTTCTGGGCAATGTCCGTATAGGGAACTCCAGCCTCTTCGAAGACGAGACGGACGAACTCGCCACGGCCAGGGAGACCGGGCCAATAAATGAGCTCGTAGGGAGCGTCATCATCAACTTTGACACGCTTGGGTTCGGGTTGAGACATTGTAAGTGATAGCTGGGACAATTGAGATTGTTCAAGTGTTGCTGAAGACCTGAAATCAGTGAATGATGGTTGTTGCTCAAAGTCAAGAGAGAATGAAACGAATTGAGTGTTTCTATTGAATGCAAGAGCAGAAAGTTGAGGAAGGCGTCGCTCAGCTCACCTCATTCTGATGCGAAGGAGTGGGGTCAATCCTTCCTTCCCGAGCCCGCCTCTCAGCTTCCCGGCAGTTACCCCAACTTTATGTAAGAATCATCAAAGATACTGTGTCTTTTTCCTTTCTCAGGCCTTTGAAACTTCTACTGTGTCATTACATTTTTCCAAATTTGATTCACATTAATGCTGCGAGACTCTGTTTGTAGTAGGTTATCCAAGAGCCGGAGCTTCAGCCGGACGGCACGGGACGGAGTGGAGACAAGCGGGGGTCGGAGCTTCGATGAGATCATAAACCCGATACTTTTGCATAATTGTCGGTTAAACAGAACGTGTCGATGACTTCGTAAGACAATGTTACACTGAATCAGCCCAAAGAATAAGACTACCTATGTATACAAGTTGAGTTGTCAGCAAATCCAATGACCGAATATACGCAGTCCAATGGCTGAGCTGATCCATGACGGGCTAAGAGAGTTCTTAGGCAGTTTATTCTTCTTAGACCTGAATATCATAATATCTGCCAACCTACGTACATAGGTAGTCGGCCGATTCCTTATCAGATATGAATGCAACTTCATTATGCAAGGAACTTTATGGCAACTCACGAGAGAGTGGGCAACATATGTGTATCGTGGGCACAGCAGCTTCTACCGTGTCCTCATGAGTTAAGCATATAGAATATGTACGAGTAGTTCCCCGTGTTACGCATGATATGATCTCTGTTCTGAACTTGGTGGAAACTACTACCACATTCGGTAGGCTTACTAGCACAGTTGAGGTTGTAAACGCATTCATGGTTGGCCGCATCTACGGTCTTAACCATGTTATCTGATTGGGCCGCATGGCAGAAGGACATTCTATAAACCACCAACATAGATATCATATTTCTAGCTTGGAATACATCTGCACGGTATGCTGTATTGGAGTAGACGAGAAGCTTCTTTAGGAAGGAGTTGTATATCTTGTCGTTCCTACACTTTCGTGGCGCTTCTCAAGTGACTCGTCCATCATCAGTGGCACATTTGGGCTCCGTTAGTCACAGCCATCTCGCGCTCGAGGAAAAAAAGAGCGACGGGTTCACCGACTTGTGAGGCTTGTCCGAGGACGCCATCAGGGTGAGCCAGAACTTTGCGATCAGCGCAATTAGATGAAAGTTCAGCCTTCTGAGCTCGCGCTCTGATGAAGATCGCCAAGAGACTTACATCACGGGGGCACGAAGTAACCCCAGCTTCATATAGCGGAACATGGGCTGAAAGGTCTTCATAGTATTTTGTTTATCGTATTGTGTAAGTGGACTTAGCGCGGAGATGGATCATGCATTACAAGTGACATACATGCTACAGCCTGCCCATCACATCGTATGTAGAGAAGAGCGTTTCTGGCAATACAATGCGGCTCCTCGAGCTGTGCCAGTGATTTTTCGCAACTCTACCACCAATTCTGCTTGGGTATATCTAATATGTTTTAATCAAGAGCTTACAAATAGGAAACAACATGAAACTTATGACGTGAAGTACCTTTCTTTGGCTAAAAAAGAAAACCTACGGACCCATTCATCAGATGAGATAGCGCCTTGTAAGGTGAGAAAATTGTTGAGGCCGAAGAAGCGGATCAACGCTTAGCACAACGCCGAACTTGTTTCACCTGAAGTATTTTTCCGGTAGTTGGACATGATATGTCATTCAATTCCGCACTCAGGATAGCGTGCTCCGTAGCATCGGCACATTGAAGCGATTTACCCACTTTGGGTGTGTTTTATATTGAGATCACCTACAGCAACACTGCGGTTCTGAAGATCTCTTGTTCAAGACGCTCGGGCATCAACTGCCATTTCGCTATGTTGCTAGGTATTTAGTTAGATATTCATATTCGGGTTGTGGGCGGATGGATTATTTGATATGTCACTCGTATTATCGGCCAAAACTAAACGGAGATGAGAGAGCCTCAGACCGAGGTGGATACGTCTATTGAAACTCTATTATGAGATTCGCACATTTTCGAAACCAGCTTCTAGATGAAGTTTAGTTGGATGTCAGGTTTTGACTGTTTGAGGTAAGCTGAACAACAGTATCAATCTCTCTCTATATGTTTCAATATGGATAGCAGACACACTGTTAGCTTAATCACCTGAGACTATTGATAGAGGAACAGTCTTAAATGTCTTCAACATGCACGGAACTCCAATTTCAGGTTGTATATCCGATTGATCAAGGTGGTAGGGATCCTCTGCTCATTGGCCGATTATCGAGTTGGATCACGTTTGTAACGGTTCAAGGTCCGAGCGAATTATTAACAGGGACATGTCGCTGCTAAGAAGAAAATTCAGGTAATAATGCTTTGAAAATGTCTCGCTCACACGTTTTTCTACCCCTGGAAGATGCACCAAGATGCACCCTTGACAGGAGGCTAAGCCAGACTCAGACAGTTGAAAGTTGGAGACCGTAAAGTACGTACCTAAGTGTCATGCAGTGGCGTTAGACAGTGCTCTGGAACTTCCCTCCTTGACCTTCATGCGCCCACCTGCCTATTGTGTAGTTTCTTACTGTAAAATGAATCCATGGCGTTGAGTAGTTTTGACTTGATTGTAATTACATGTGAGAGTGAACAAGTAAGTAGTGTCAACTGATTAAATTGAAGATTTGACGGGTTGAATAGATCATCATATAAATGACCGGATAAAGATAAAAAGTTTGATCTTAATTGCTCTGATAAGATGCGACAGCTGTCAAGTCGATATCCAATCATAGCCTAATTCTATTTCTGTCGGTCCATTTTACTGAGAGATTTCGACACGAAGGCTTGTTCCTCTGGTTGCCGTTGGCTAAAGGCCCCAGCACTTAGCAGCACTTAACCAAGCACATCCTGGCTTCTGATCGATCAATGACAATCGAGGTCGAGGTACCCTAGGGCTGTAGCCTCGGCTCCTCTACGGGTCCCCCAGTCCAAGAAAGCTACTGTAAGCTCCGCCCGGAAGCTAGACCTGCTCCGTCAAGTACGTCCGGCAGAGGCGCCTCCATGTCAGAAAATCTGTGGATATACCCCCGACAGGCACCCTCTTCCCGTACTCCCGGGCCCAATCAATATGCACTGTAACCATGGGAAAAAACCCTTTCATTCGATTCTAGCTAGTCTAGCCAAGGGGTAGGCCTCTCCAAGCACCAAGTAAGCCATCACCTAGGCTCACTGCCATACCAGGAACCCGCCGTCACGCGATGCCGTAATAACCCAAGAAGCAGGGTTCGGATACGGCTCAGTTCCTATCCTCTCCTACTCAATCTCAAGGTTGCCTCTTACGGAATTCATATGCGTGGAGGCGGGTCTAGAAAGCTAACCACGCGGAGGCGAAACAGCGAGCGAGCCACTCTTAGTCTTGTCCTGCAATGCAGGACTGTAAGTAATACTTACATATAATGATGATCCTCCTGCTTCCCACCCCGCTGCCGCGGGTCTTGCTCTCTCTGTTTCTCGAACTGGAGAGCTGAGTTCTCTCAAAGTCACCACCAGAGAAACGGAAACGACATCATCATGCGTAACCCACCTCTTGAGGTGGTGGCTACATGGCCAAAGCCCAACTATGATAATCCAGAGCATCGTGGGCCTGCTCTGCTCATCGTCGAGGTCACCATCATGTCCGTTGCCATCCTCACCCTCATGGCTCGTCTCTATGTCCGGATATTCAAAGTCAACAAGCATGGCCTCGACGACTGGCTTATGCTGGCTGCCATGGTAAGTCACCTCAAACCTCGGCAGCATGTGCGAAGATCGATTCCAATTTCCAATGCTGACTTGCGGAACCCCAGATCTTCGGAATTGGAGTCACTGTTTGTGTCATTCTCGCAGCCCAGCTGTACGGCTGGAACATCCACGTTTGGGATCTCAGAAAATCACAAGCAGAAACAGGCAGAAAGGTTTCTCTTGCTGCTCAAACACTGTTTCTGTTCTCGTCAGGTCTGGCCAAAAACTCGATCCTGGTCTCTTACCTGCGCATTGCCCCTGCTCGTTCCTGGCTTCGGCGTTTGACCTTTGTCTCAATTGGCATTGTGACCTCCCTAATCTTTATCTTCCTGATCGTACTATGGACACAATGTCGGTAAGTCAATACACTCTTCGTTACAACCCCTGCACTCTTGTACTAACTGAAGATAGACCTGTCTCTGCATACTGGAGTTTGACAGGAGGTGACAGCTGCGTCCCTGAAGGCCCTGGAGTCCTGTAAGTATAACCACTCGTCAGTTTCATTCTTGGTCATCACTAACCTCTTCGTGTGCAGGAGCCAAGCAATCACCACAGTCCTGACCGATCTCCTTGTCTGTGCTTTGCCCTTGCAAACACTCTTTCAACTCAAACTTCCTCTGTCGCAACGCATCGCTCTTATCGTTGTCTTCTCCCTCGGTCTGGTCGTTGTCTTTGCGGCCTCCATGCGCGCATACTATACCCACTATGTTACCGACGAAACTTACGATGTCACCTGGGAGGGTTTCCACCTTTGGATCTGGACCGCTGTCGAAGCGAATTTGGGAGTTATCTGCGGAAGTGTACCGGCCCTCCGACCCCTGTTCAGAAATATGTTTCGATCCAAGAGCAGCAGCTATTACAACAACACCCAGTCTCACGCTTATCCTCCCGGCACAGCCCCGGGAGTCGTTACTGTCGTCACTGGACCTAAGAAGAATGGCCGAAACTGGAGTAACAGTCTCCAAAGAGGGTCGAAAGGAGTCAGGTTGGAAGACGAAGATGCCGATATCGAAGGAAATTATAATGATGCGGCACGACAAAAGAGCACGGATAGCAGATTATCGTCGCTCGAGTTGGTGACATGGCCGCAGAGACCACAAGTTACCTCTTGGCCTTCCAGAGGATGAGCATGATAATTTGATATGGGTCGGCGTTAATGACACTTGGGAGGGAATTTGGATACGGCCTCCCAAAACGAGAAGCAATATCACGAGTCACGGTATAAGACAAAAAATATTTACAGAAGAATACTTTAATAGCATGATAATGACATACATGCCGGAAATCTATTGTTTTGATCCCTGTGATATCCTGAACTTTCTCTTCCATTGTCCAATAAAGATTGAGGATGCTTTCGAATCATCTGGCTTTTAAACATGACGAAACTTTAAAATTGTGACCGATTAACGGGCCCAGATGTGATAACGCTATGGCCAATATTCCCAATTTCTCATATTGGGATGTTTGCTGAATGGATAGTTCCTCAAGAATGAACCATTCAGCCGGTACGCGCTAGAACGAAGGAAGGATGAAGGATCAAATTTCCCGCTCATGGCGCATACATCATTATTAATTATCCGGTAGCTACGCTATCAGCGCTTTTAGCCTTGTTCAAGAGGATTATCGTTTATATACTGCGGCGATTCGAATGGCGTGTCGTGTTTCGGCCGTAGTAGGTAACACCAGTAATAAATATCTGGATCATTTGGCGATAGTTTGGGAGTGAGGACTTGGGCAAGCACTTCAACGTCGAATGGTAGATCATCAAGGTTGAACCGGTATGCAGAGAAGCTTAACGACACCCATACACCACCTTCTGCGAGACAACCTTTGACACCAGCAGCCATACGGCGCAGCGCCGTTGAGCCTCCGCATGAGATGGCATCAACGGTACTTTTATCAACGACAAGATCAAACTTCTGGCTCAGGTCCAGCTGAGTCGCGTCTTGAACATCGTAATCCATCTGAACATCGCCGAAAGCCTGTTTCTCGAGGTCGCGACCGCGATCAATGGCGAGGGGCTCGTAGTCGACGTTTAAAACATGACGGAAGCCCCGGGACCGGAAATGATTCTGAAGGTCACTTGTTCCGAAGCCGATGTGGAGGATACGGGCCGTGTCCGGATCGAGCCGGTTGAGAGCGGGCTCGATTAACGAGGTGAACTCTGCCGAGGGGAGAAGCCATTCAAAGGCCTTTTCGGACGCGAAGCGCTCGTGCCAGTAACTCTGCTTTTCGAAATCGGCGGCCATAATGGTATCGAGAGCGTAGTCTGTCGCCTGGAAGATTGGCGAGGAAAGGATGGGTGGGATCTGTGGTGCGGAAGCCATGGCTCTTTAATACACCGTGGTCCTTTTTTTTAGTGTCTGATATGGTACTGTATCATGACATGAAATGCGAATTTTGCGCAAATCCTGGTTGTTGGTTCGGTATCTGGGCCCACAGAACTGGGATAGTTGGTGATGATGGACGGGGCGGTCTGGAAGAGGATTCGGAGGTTTCATCGTGGTTTTTCTGTTGATGTGATGAATGTAGATGAGGTGAGTTGTTGGGCAGTGAACAGACAAGCCCCAGCGTTGGTCAGTTCTTGCCATGACCACTATTGTCAGCCATGATAGAGCCTCTAGAGGGAAAGAACGAGTTGAATAGCAGAGTCATGTCAGATAGGAAGGCACGCGCACGGACGAGGCATCAATAGAGCGCCAAGTAAAAGAACAGGTCGATTCTGTGTGACAATGAGTATCGACTGTGACTACCTCCAGAAGATGAAGAATGACTGATGCTCAGGAACATTATCACCAAGTTGAGCAACATGCTGTTTGTACGGTACTAGCATGAGGGGTCAAGCCTGAAGTCGCTAGTGGAAATAAAAGCCAAAGCAACTGCCGGTAGTTATTCAAGAATATTCCAATCAACAACAAGGTTTTGAATGCCGACTTTGAAGGACCCTGATCATCCTTCTTTAAGCCCAAGCTGGTGAGTGTTGAAAGAAAGCAATGACGTAGAGCGCTAAGGTTTGATGGTGATTTACAGGGGTGGTTGCCCCGGTAGATCGGCTACAGAAAGGTCGACTGCTGAATTTAGGGTGCGTAAAATGATGGATCAAGCCGCTGTACATTGCTCACATAGAATTGAAGCACTAATTCTATCTTTCTGGTCTCTGGTAGTAGATTCTTCTTGCTCTTTATCCCCAGCCCTATTAATATCAACCAATAATGTCTCACCCAGCCACATTCTACAACAAGGCGTTGGCCGTTGTTTCAGCTCCGCCTCGGAATGCCGCGTCAACACTCCAAGGAATTGGATTCGAGCCAAGACAATTCTAGAGGAGGCTGCTTACGAGGCGCCAAATGGCAATCCAATGCAATGCAATGCAACAAATAGATAATGAAGATCAAGTTTTTAGTTTTTAGTAAACAAAACCCCTTCCCCTTCCTTCTTTTCAACTTCAACCCGAATTTGACTCTATCGGTTTTCGTTGCTTAACGTCGTCTCCTTTCTTCATTCGTTGACTTGGTAACCCTGGTAAACATTCACTTTACACTTCACGACGCAGAGGTTTCCAGTTCAAAGCGATAATGGCGCCTGCTCTGCACTCAGATTCCTACGCTTCGGCTGTGGAATATGCAGCTAAAAAGACATTCCATACTTTGGCCAGACGTGATCTTCAGAACCCAAATCGCACCCAACAAATAACATTGGGTATCATCGGCGTCTATGTCGTTGTTATTGCTATTCTATGGAACGTTCCTTATGTCAAAATGATTCTTTGGCCATTCAAGGTATGTCTTCTTTATCAATGAACGAAAGAACTACTTACTAACTGCTCTTAGATGTTGGTCATTGCCTTTCACGAATTTGGTCACGCCATCACCGTTCTTCTCACTGGAGGCCGCGTCAAGTCTATCACTCTTAGCCCCAACGAGGGCGGCGCAACTCATCACATCGGTGGTGCAGATGCCATCGTCCTACCAGCTGGCTATCTAGGTTCTTCCATCATTGGCGCTCTTCTCACCTTTTGCGGCTTCAACATCGTCGCCAGTAAAGTCGCCAGCATCGTCCTCGGCGTTTGCTTCCTCCTCACTCTCTGGTGGGGAAAGCGTGATTGGCTCACCATCCTCACCGTTCTCTTGGCCGTTGGACTGCTTATCGCTTGTTGGTTCATTCAACATGCCGAGGCGCTGCGCTTTGTCGTTCTCTTCATCGGTGTCATGTCTTCACTTTACAGCATTTGGGATATCTGCGACGACCTGATTCTTCGGAAAGTAAACGAGTCTGACGCCAGTGTTTTTGCGAAGCGATATGGCGGTTCTTCTCAGTGCTGGGGTGTCATTTGGTCCATCATCTCGATCCTTTTCATGGCTGCTGGTATTGTTGCTGGTCTGGCAGCATTCCCGCAGTCATTTGAACAACAGGAGAAGGACTCCCAGAACTTCATTCCCACCTAGGGCGACCGTCACCTGTGCTTGGAGAAGAGCCATGTTACTCTTTTTGTCGGATATGTATACCTATCAAGCCGTGTGAAACGGTAAGGGGGTTTGTCACCTCTACATATTGAAATTAATGTCCCGTGATGACAGCGGGAGCAGTATGAAGGACACGATATCTGTGTGTTATGAGTCGTCAGCAGGCGGGAAAGAAGCTACGTTTGATACCCTCTAGGATAGATATCCTTGATTCTAGCCTCATAACATGAAATTTGACTGTACTCAAGTATCACCTTGTAACAGCAATGGGAAATCGTCAGGTGTCATGTTAATTCAATGCAGGCATTGGCAAGCAAACACCAAGGGCCCTTTGGCCAAACGGTAAACTTTGGAAGACCTGATTTCGTTCACAGAAAGACGATCGGTCCTTTCGTGTCTAATTTCAGCCAAATAAACGTCTTGTGATACATAGTGGAATCTGTACAGAGTCAAACGCTAGCCTTATGAAACAGAAGCGACGGAAGCTACTTAGCAAACATCACAGTTGAGGCTGTATCGTATTTATAGAGAAAGAATGAGTATAGAACCTGAGCTCTGGGAATCATTTCCATACTTCCCACTACACACAACCCCATTCTCGTCTTCCAGTATTCCCGAGCAGTTACTCTTGCCTTAACAATATGGCTCATAATACTGCATGCAGTTCGGTCGCAATCGGTCGTCCTGATCGACAAGAAGATTTCAGACATGAACTTCCAACTGTGAGCATTGCTGGCGAGTATTACTTCTTCAGTGGCCCTATCAGGAGCTATGGGTAGGTATCATGAAACTATTGAAGTTCAGGGCTAACATTCCATTCAGATATGTCCACGAGATGGCCTCAAAGGCTGCCAACATGGATTTTTACCATGAGTATGGTGGGAAAAGCTCCGAGTACATCATCCTCGGTCCTAACAAACGCTTTTTTCGATGTACTCGCAGTTGGACCGGACGAATTGCCGCCCGAAGTGAGTTTTGCTAGCAGTGAGTAATTCAGATACTAATACATGCCAAAGACAGTAGCGACTTTGAAGACTACGAAGAAGTCTGCGATCTCTTCACCGAACATGATGTTGAGCGCCCGCCCTTTCTGTACTTCGGTCCTAACAAGACCTTCTACACTCGCGTCGAAGATGGCACCGAGAAATGGAATTTGTCTCCCGAGGTCATCCGCAATGGCCTTCAGATCACTTCTCACGCAACCAGATCTGCCGTCGAGAGCCTCTGGCTTGGTGTTGGTAACTCTTGGGTTGCGCAGTACCGAGACAGCCGCTTTAGATTTGACCTCAAAGGGCAGTATCCGAGTCTACAGGACACCCTACGCAAGAAGCAGGATGAAGAGGTCTGTATCGCTGCACTGGCTTTGAACGTCGCGGACGGGAACTCTTATGCTTGTGTCTTCAACGACGGCACTATGGTGTATGAGAATGGACCAGCTGCGTTTGATGGCAAGGAGTTCGAGCGCTGGTGTGAACAGAACTTCAATTTCACTCAGAGGGTGTATTACTTGCCATGAGCCGGAGCTTATAATAATCTGGAAGCCTACTTTAGGACCTCACAATGGGGTAGTTTAGAGACAAAGCATCGCATATGTCTATGGTCGCTTAGTGTCAATGGACAAATGACAGCAATGTTCTTTTTCTCAGGTCACCAGAAAGGAGAATCTACAAGTTCGATCGTGTAATGGACTATACAAGGTTGCGTTGAAAACGTGCCCATGATATCTCCGGTCGACGTTAACTTTCAACTCGGCATCAAAGGATCACTGTTCATTGCCCTAGAGCAAACATACTTCTACTGCAGAACCGCAACCCACTCGCTGTATACATTGTCCTCCTTTACACATACATAACTGCGAGCCACAATATCCGATCCATGTTGTACCTATCTTAGCAATCGATGGGTGGCGAAAAGATACCAAGGACTGTAGGCCTAAGAGCGTGGGTATAATGAAGACGAGAAGATCCTAACGTCGTCATGTGAGAGCAAACACAATTCCTGTGGACGGAGCCGGCGAGGATGATGCAAATTAGCTTGGATGTTCTGGGTATAATTTCTTGCGAGTAGAGAATAATACAAGAGACCAAGACGTTGATCAGCCTCTTGAGTCATGATTCTCATCTGAACGGTAGCCCTTGAAGCGAGCCAATCTATCTTATTCCGTGCCTAAAGGCAATATACCCCAACGCCAGGTTCTTCCCGTTATCAAAACAACAAAGTTTGTTTCCACGACGCAAGCTTAAGTGATTGGGTTTTGAGTGAGGACCAGACTCGCTTCTGAGTCTACCACCGTCCACGGCGTCCACGACCTCCAAAACCACCTCTGCCGCCGCCTCCAGACATATTTTGATCATAGCCAAAACCGCCTTGATTGCCGCCGAAGCCACCATTAAAGTTGCCTCCTTGGCCGCCCTGAGCACCCTGGCCACCAGCGTTTTGCATGCCGGAGAACATAGCGCTCATCTGACTGGGATCCATTTGGCTTGGATCCATTCCTGACGCCATCATCTGCTGCATCATTGCTTGCATATCGGGGGACATACCGTCCATGCCGCCAGACATACCTCCTTGTTGACCACCCTGGTTGCTTCCGCCTGGCATGCCCATGCCGCCCATCATCATCATGTTGAAGTCTTCCATCATCTTCTTATTGTTCTGTGCGAAGACGTCGGCTCCGAATTCGCCTCGGACAGTCTCCTGCTTGGAGGCGTACAGGGCCCATGTAAACTCGTCGAAGCCGTAGTTGAAATAGTCGCTGATATCCGTGCCGGGTTTCCGCCATGGCTTGTCGTTCTCTGGAAGGTCTTTAGGTGGCTAGGTTAGTCTTAGACACAAATGTTCGGTCAAAGTCTACTGACCTTCGTCAATGTTGACTTGAGTGATGGGTTTCCCTGTTCCGGGATGAATTGGGTTTGCGTTCACGTCGATTGTCGATTTTGATGCCGCAGCTGAAGTCTTATCGGCGCTGGGTGCAGCAACATTGACTGATGCCCGAGATTCTGATTCCCTCCTCACTGGTGCTGGCTGTGCTGGCATATCATTTGAAGCTGTCCTTTGGGGAATATTTCGAATGTCGCTGTATTTAGCCTGTCTGGTAGAGAGAAACTAGTTAGCACTCTCTGAGCTCTTGCGCATTCAAGAATCGCGTACTGTGGAGGAGCTGGCTTGGTGCCATCTTTGCGCTCTGTGATAATATCGATATCCTGCAATTGGGCGTCAGTTGATATAATCGTAGCGTGTCGCGAGCCTCTTACTGAATCGTCGTCGTCGTCGTCGTCATCCTCGTCCATAGCTGCGCCCTCATCCTCTTCTTCACCTTCCTCCAAGTCGTCTACTTTAGGCTTAGGATCTTCTACAGGTGCGCTCTCGAGCTTAGGTTCCTCGGGCTGGTAGAGGTCATCATCTGAGTCGATATCCATGTTGGCGATTCTGGTGGAAAGGATATGGGTCGCGTACGATTGACGTCGAAGTGAAAAATGTAAATATTAAGAATTGTATGTGCATACGGATACCTACAAAGACCGGACTTCAAGCTCAAGCTCTCACAATTACAGCAGCTATTGGCTGTTCGGCGCCGACATTCTTCCGGACAGCTGATTCACCTGGTGCTTCAGCTGCTCAGCGAACGCTCACCGAGACTGACCTAGAGCCCAAAATGGTCCAAGCGCGAGCTTTCTCCAAATAGCTTGGAGACTTTTTAATCGTGTCGCGGTGTCAAAACACGGTCAATCGCAGGAATTTGACTTTGAAGCCACTGTCGCATTCGCTCAAAGTGCTGTAATTTTTGTTCCTTAGCATGTCATTGATCCGATCAGCCAGCGGACCAGCAGGTGGTTTAAGCATCAACACCGGCGCTGCTAACGCCTTGTAAGCTCCACACCCGACTCTAACAAAACAATCAATCATTCATCACCGCCGATACCCACCCAACTTTTCTGCTCTGCTTTCTCTTGCGCCAGCTTCACAACTTACCTCGTCGAATTATTCTCTTGCTAACCCGCGCATCTTCAACAGAGGCAACACTGCTTCTAACCCTTCTGCTGCAGGAAGTCTCTTTGGTTCATCTGCCTCCGCTACACCTACCAACAACACCACAGCAACAGCGCAAAGCGGCACAGGCAACATGTCTCTCTTTGGCGGCGGCGCGCAGAAGACGGGGACCGGCGGTCTTTTTGGACAATCGACGACAGGAACTACACCTGCCGCTTCAACTGGTGGTGGTCTATTTGGAAATGCCAGTGCTACAAACACCCAACAGACACCGAGCACCGGTACTGGCACTGGACTCTTTGGCAACACCGCCGCGAACAACGCCCAACCACAAGGTCAGCAGCCAACTGGAGCGCCAATATCAGGGGCTCACTGGGGAATAGGAAACACTCAACAGTCAACCGGTGGACTCTTTGGTCAATCGACTCAGCAGAATCAAACCCAGCAGCAGCCTCAGCAAACAGGCACAGGCCTCTTTGGACAATCTACAGCAACAAATACCCAGACCAACACAGGAACCGGTCTTTTCGGTCAATCTCAAGCTCAGCCAGCCTCTACGGGTACTGGTCTCTTGTAGGTTCTATCAAGCTCCCTGCAGTAACAAGCGCTAACTTCCAACAGTGGCCAAGCTCAACCTCAACAGCAGCAGCAAAACAACACTCTAGGTCAATCTACAAACCAAGTCTCAGCCGTACAGATCAACTATGACAACATCCGCCCACGCACTCGGTTCGATGACCTCGCTAAGCCCGTACAAGACGAAATTGCGCTGCTGGACAAGGGTATCCAACGAGTTATCAAGATGAGAGATGAGATTGGTGAATTCATGCCTCAACATGAGAAAGATATTGAACAACTTGGTCTCGACGTTAAGTTCGTCGAGTCCAAATTCCGCACCGTTCAAGTCGCACTCAACAACGACATCCAAACCGTTAAGGCTCTCCAGGATCAAACTCGAAAGAATGCCGCCGATGCTCGCCTATGCTTCCGAGGTGCCGATAACCTCAAACTTCCTACACATTACCACCAGACAGGTCTTTTCGCTAGCCAAGCGCCCGCCGCCGATACCAATGGTGCAGATGCTGCGTCGACACATGCCGATGCGCAGGATCTGATTACCTACTTTAACCGCATCTGTGACGATATCGAAAAGTACAAGGCCCGTCTTGACGAGTACCGCGCAGATATTGAGAGAGATATGCCTGGAGTTGAGAACGGTCTTTACGAACAGATTCGAGCTATGCGCGATCGCAGCGCCGGCAGCGTCGTTGTACAAGACCAGCTGAACGAGGTGTTGTTGGCGCTGAGGGATACGGGAAGCGCCATTGTTGCGCAGGCGGGACAAATCGCTGACACCAGAGAACGGCTGTCGCGTCTCCAAGCTGGCATTGTGGACAGCGGAGTGTACGCCATGGGCATGAACGCTTAGATCACTAGACCGATGTGTCAAAGAGGAGGCGAGTTAAAGACGGATGGTAATATCAATATCTTGGACAATACAAATGTCCGTTTCTTGTTTAGGGGACAGGTTTCATAAATGCATTGTTTGGTAGACGAGGGAGAGGGTATGGTGTTAACAGCTACGCAGAGGATCATAGTGAGGATAGCCTTACGACATGTACGAATACCACTTGAACAAAAGACAGCATCATGAGGGTTGTGATACAAGCGTAGGGGTAATATCGAACAAAAGTAATGAAGCTTAACTTCCATCCTGATTCGGGCGATGGAATGGGCTCTGGCAGCCGTTAGGGCATCGGAAGGATCAGCCGCTGAGAGTATAAGAGACGAAATAATTTAGCCCTTTTCTGCTAATTTGGGCCAGCATTTAGGCTACTTTGTATCTGTAGTCTAAACCATAGAAAATAATTCTTCAAGATGGTCAATGTGAAGCTGGCTCGAATGCCAAAAGTCTCATTATTTTGCCTCGCGAGTTCGCGGGCTTTGGGTATCAAAGCAATGCGGAGCCATGATGTATATACAAATAATCGCTATTCCCTCTCTAACTCCATGCGGCCCTCACGATTCCTCGGGAAACTAGAAGGTTCCTTCTCCGTCGCCGTCATCACCATAATCGTCGCCAAAATCATCGCCGTTCTCAAAGTAGTTCTCAGCATCGTAGTCGCCTGCATCCTCGTCATCATAGACTTCGTCCTGCTCTTCCTCTTCCATGCCCTCCTCGTCTTCGAGGTCGCCGCCCTCTTCGCCTTCCTCCTCCTTGAGAGCTTGAAGACGCTCAAGAAGTGTCCGGCCCTGCATATCATCCTCAGCGTCACCTGCCATGCCGAAAGCTTCCTCTGCGCTTGGCAGCGCACTGACGCTAGAGAGCTCAAGTTTCCGGCGCTTGAACCCGCCAGGTACGTCGGCGTTGTTGGTAGCCGCAGCGTCGATTTCTTTGTATAATTCGCGGGGGAAAAGCTCACGGCAAACTGGGCGATTGGACCAATCCGGAAGAGCGCGCTCTTCACGGGCGAACTTGTGAGAGTAGGTGGGTACAGCAGTAAAAGGATCTACGGAAGCCTTGCTCTTGACGCCGAACACGGCATTCTTCTGTGCCTGTCCATAGTGTTTCCGGGGCGCTGTCGGGTCGTTGAGGGATGTACGCTTGGATGTATATAGAGGAGAGGCATGGGTCTGGTGCCTTAATAGTAGAAGGTGTTGTACGGCGGTTTTCTCGGGTGCGGCGAGCTCTCGGGGTGTCGGAACGATGTATGGCTGTCAATTGTGTTAGCGATGTGTGACACTCCGATCCATCAGTGTAATGACATACGGGAAATAGCTCAGAGGGTCGCGCATCAGGCTCGTCACCTGTATCCCACGGCACATTAGGCCTTCCACCTCTTCCGCCGCCGCGACCGCCGCGGCCTCCACCTCGACCTCCTCGAGACATTACGCGCCTAGGCTGTGGGTTCAAATGAGGACTTTGTGATTTCTGCAGGTAAGATGCTAGATTCAAGCCGTTTGTAGCTATAGAGCATGTGTCACTATTCGCGATCTAGGTTTGACGCACGCAGAATGATTTTTTGCGGGGTGTTCTGAATGCGCCTACTCTGTACAAGAAAAAAAGATGGGACGGAATTAAGTCCGCTAAATGCCCCGCTGACCGGGCCTGCAGTAGGTATAGGCGATCGCGAAGGCCCCTAAGGCTTAGGCTACAGAAATAAAGTAGCCTAAATGCTATCCTAAGGCGGCCTAAGGTGACCTAATTATTTCGTCTCTTGTGCTCTCGGCGGCCAATCCTTCAGACTCCCTGACGGCACTGATATCGCGGAGGATAAGTTTAGCTTATCACATTTCGAAATAAGCTTCCTTCCTTCATTTTGCATGAGAATACGTTCAGCTTAAGATCTGATCGTTCTTTAAACTAAAGGATTTGCGTACTTTGGGTTTGTGTCTTATGGAACTTCAGGCTTCTTCGACTACGTACCCCTCCATCAACCTGCAACTCACAACCATCATCACCAACTCTAAACTGCCAAACAATCAACACCACCCATCTTTATTATAGCTCTATACTCATATACAACATGTCCGAGCGAGTCGTTCCTCAACAGGGCGAAAATGTCCCTGTCAGTGGCCTTGCTGAACTGCACGCCCATCTTGCAGAGCTCCATCAGCCTGGAAATGAAGAGACACCATTAAACAACAAGCTCTTTGATGATGTCGAGCTTCAACTCACTCGTACGTCAATCTTTCCTGATAAACAACTGCAGATACTGACCCGTTACAGCTTCGAATATCCCTATTATTCAGCCAACTCTTCTCCCTCCGCTGATGTCTCTCCTCAAGACCACAACACAAGATCCAACTGTGGTCTTCTCTCTCACCACCAAGCTCCTATCACCTCTTTTATTCACACAATGCTTATCTCTAGGCGGCGCTGAATCTCTTATCGAAGCTCTCAAGTCGCCTCTTGCTGGCGCCAATCTGCTCGCTCTGAATATCATTCAAAAAGCCGCTAGCAATCCCCGAGAGGTCGACGCTCTCGCTGCCCTACCTGAGGTTGTCGAGGAGCTACTTCGCACATGGCTAGGCTCACCAGATCCTGATGTTGGAGGACGCTCTACAAGAGTTTTGGGCAGTCTTCTCGAGACAGATTGCGATATCATGCCGGAAACCCAACCAGCCATGTCGAACGGCGTCAATGTCGTCAGCCCTTCAGAAACAGGGCTCGTGAAGCGTCATATCCCTGGACATGCCAGTCTCTGGCGCTTGGTTATCTGGGATCGCCATTATCTCGAGATCATCGTTTCCCTTTGCCGTCCCGCAATCATCAATCGACAAGCAACATTCGCGCAGGACCGTCTATTGAGGATCATTCCTCGCCTAACCGCTCTTCATCCTCGTGCCATGGCTATCTCTCCATTCGCGGATATATTCCCTCTGCCAGACTATGCAAGCGAGACCATCGGTCATGGCTTATTGCAATGGGCAGCACTGAACATGGTTGATACAAGTGATGTTCTCATGCATCAGACTCTGATTGTCTTCTTCGAGTCGTTTGTGAGCATTCTGCGGATTGCAGGCGATTCGCCCGATAAAGATGCCATTGTGCGTAACGTGGTCAAGACAGCCACTTCACAAGATGAAGAATTGAAGCGGTCTTTGAGGACACTGCCAGATAGGACGGTACAGGAGGAAGCGGAGCCCCTGACCAAGTACATCAGCCAAATACTGGACTAATGAGCGACGTAGGCCACAAGAGCCTCGAGTCGAATTATCATAGCTTGGCACCGTGTAGTAAATACTAAAATAAACAGTTTAACACCATTCAATTTTGTCCGTGCTATAAGATGTAAAGCTCCCGAGTCCGAAAGCGTGGAACGGCTTTGTCTAATAAGAAACACAGAAACAGCAACCACTTTTTAGAAAAAACATAAACTTGTATATATTGACACATCCCATTTCAACCCATAATACATTCCCCAGGTCAGACTATTCCATCATCGGATAACCTGGGGTATCTAGAACAACGTCATGAAAACCAACATTCTCTATGATTCCACCCAACGCCCTGCTTCTCTTTACTGTCAACAATCGCGGAGGAAGCCCATCCTATAGCATTCTCCTTGCGTCTGCTTCTCGATCACCCATTGGTTCCGCCGTCATTCGGCTGGCCACACTGTCTTGTCGTTGTCTCGTCTGCGTCATACCCTCAATACCCAGTGCAACTTCTCCAACTCGTCGCAATACCACTAAGAGCGAGGCACGCAAGTCCGCCGTGAGGTCCTTGGTGAGAAGTTCGACCGCAAGAGGGTAGAAATCGGGAACATGCTTCTTGAAGGCATCATCGGGGAAAGTAGCATAACCTTCAAGAACATCGACGACAACTGGACGCCATGCAATAATGTTTCGATGCTGACTTTCCTCTTCTAGAGTGGTGTAGCCATGAACGATATCCTTGCACAGAGGTACCAGCGCAGTCTCCACATCAGGTCGACTCTGCAATCGCTCTGGTGCATCATCGGCAAACATACGGAAAAGGATGGAGATGTAAGTGGCAGCTGAACCACTCTCCTGCTTCAGGAGATTAGGTGGCTGCTTCATGAAACCCTCCCGCCAAAGCCTCATACGCAATTCCTTATCCTCGTTGAACCGACGGGCGAATAGGAAAGATCGCTTAAGCAGCGTCATCAGACGTAAGAGTTCCTGAGAAGGAATATGAGCATAGACAGTGTCATTACTGAAGAGTTCATTGACCGTCTCTATCATCAATAGCTGCAAAACGCAACGAGAAATAATTCGATTGAAGAATCGTCGTCGCGCGGCCGTCACTACAACGGGCTGCTGCTGAAGATTAGACGATGGTTTGAACTCCTCGAGCGGAACATGAGGGCCATCTGCTGTTGGCGTCTGAAGTTCATCCTCATCAGGCGGAGGAATGATAGTGTGTTCATCATCGTCATCTCGTCCATCGATTTTGAGTGACTTCTCATCGACGGGTGTGGCCTCTGTTGAGCCTGCGGAGAATTCAAGGCCATTTGGTGGAGGCGATATCGAAGCAGTGTTGTTGATAGCAGTCGCTGTAAAAAGCTGGTATGCAGTTGTTCGCTCAAACAGCTCGCAGAAAGCCCCAACAAGCTTGTTCCAGTGCTCTGGCTTGAACTTGGTGACATTCTTGAGGATTAGCTGTTGCAAGCAGTTGCTACCGATTCGTGAGATCGTGTCATTCTCTTGGCAAATGCAAAGGGCCAATAGCTCCAGGAATCTATCAAGCATGTACTCCAACGCATCGAAATAGTGTGTGAACAGAGTGATCATATTCCGTAAAGCCTGGATCATAGTGGTCGATAGCCAAACGGAAAGCTCCTCGTGGTTCAGAACATTGCTCATCTCTGGGCGAGATCTTAATACCATAAAGATGGGGTAGAGTTGCTGACGCCATAGAATATCCCAAAACTCTGATGGGAAGGTACCGCCATATTTCAATAGGGTTTCAAAGAAATACTCGAGAGCGTTCGATCGCACTTCCAAGTCTTCGCCTGTCATAAGAACATCGTGGAAGGCGAAAAGAACAGGGAACCAGTATCCCTCCTCGACCGAGGTGTTTGACCGTGATCGCTTTTCAGAAGTCTGGGTTGCGCCATCAGGAGGTGGGATGTTGTTGTACTTTTGCGACAATGGACACTCGGGCGTCTTGAGCATAGTAGGAATCAGAGACTTGAGTAGCTCCAAAGCTGCCAGACTCTTCTTCTGGAACTTGAGGTTCTTGGAGAATTCTGTCAAGCATACAATCAGGTCAGTGAATGCACCCTGAGAAATGACCACTCCAAACTTGGTTTTGTAAACCTGGTTGACATTCTCATAAGCCAGATTGACAATGCTCTCGTGAGGTTCACGGGCAGCAACTGTGAAAACGCCGAACATGGTCCTCCAGCCAGATCGGATGTTATCACCACGAGCTTGGATCATCTGTATCAGACATCTGAGAACCATGTCCTTAACTGTCACATTGTGTGTATTGGCGAGCACATGCTCAAAGGGCTTCAAGAAGTCCTTTTGGAATTTGAAACCGGCCAACTCCTCGATCTCCATAAATCGCATTGAGAGCTGGCGCAGAGAATCAAGTGCAAAGAACACAATGTTCATGTTATTGTGGCATCCAACTCGGTTGAAGTGCTCGCCAAAGACCTCCCAGATATTGCTCCACTCAAACCTGACACGGTTCATGTTGTAGTAACTGATCTCAACGATCTTCTGCAAGCTGTAGGTGCGAGGCATGTCGTTGGAGCCTGACACCTTGATCTCATCCCAACTGACTTCTGTTAGTGCTCTAGCAAAGTAGACCATAGATTCACCATTCAAGTTCGCGGTGTTGGTGAAAATGCGGTCGACGCTGCGAATCACTTCATCGGATCGACTTTCGAGAGCAATTTCGGTAGAAAAGCCCTTTGATGCAGTTCCTGACCTGGCCCGTGTCGGCTTCCTGGAGTTTGACGAGCGAGAGTCAGAGCTCTCTGTCCTTTGAGGGGGCAGGAATCGAGCTTTCGATACATCGGGCACAGCACTCTCGTCGACACCACCTGAGATAAGCTGGAGTCGGTCAAGTTGGCTGATGCACATCAGAATATCTTTCCATGACTCGCGGAGGACATTGCCCTCGGTTTGTCCCAACTCAAGGACGACCTTCAGAGCCTCGATATTCTTGGCCAGCATCTCTTGTGGGTTGTTCAAGTTGGTGGTGTTCTTCAAAGCTGACATGAACGCCTCTCTCGGAGTAGACATATCAAACAAGCAAGCGATTTGTGTGGCAAGCTTCATACCCTCAAGGCAAAGCTTGTTGACTTCGAGGTTGTGAGACTTCTGAATCTGGCTCGAAAGGGTGGAAAAGATCGACATCCAAGTAACACTGAACATGGGGCTGACATGCTTGAAAGAAGTTGCAAGAATGTACTTCGTCCCAGCTTTTCGGCGTTGACTCTTGAACAGATCTTTGAACAGTTGTTCGGAGCGTAGAGCGATCTCCTCCGACTGCTGCATGTAGGCCTCGCGCTGCAAATCCCGACCAACGTTGGAAAGTGCTTGTCCGAGACCAGCAGCAATACCAGTCGATTGGGCGGGTGCATTGCCGGCTGCAGCCGCTGCATCTCGCTCACTCTTGAGAACGATCTCATTGGCGGCGATTTCATCGTAGATGGTAAGGAGGTATTCGTCAGGCAAATCCGCATTATCGTTAATACCACGATTGTTCTTGATAAACTCTTCCTTGCTCATGCGCTTGGCGATTTTGACACTGTGCAAGTCAGTGTTGAGCAAAATAACGGAATAAGCCAAGACGTATGCAGTGTCGGCATTGGCGAATGCATTGGGGTTTCCGAGAACATAACGCTCGGCAAACTTAAGCATGAATCGATCGATCTTTTGAGCTTCACCAGGCAGGCGGAAAGACTGGAGGAACTGGCGCAACGAGTCAACGAATCTCCTTTTGGCAAACTCCATGGTGTCAACAAATGCGTGCATGATGTCGATATTCTTCTGGTCTCCTTCACCCAAATACTCTCCAATTTGAGCCTTGTCCAGTTTGTCCTCCCTTATCAGGAACTCGGCGATATCTTTGGGGCTGTCGCTTGGGATGAAGCCATCACGCAGGAGCATCTGAATACCTTTCTTCGGCTTAAAGTTGAACTGGTTGATTCCTTTCATCAAGGCCGTCTTCCTCATTTTCTCCTTTTCCAATTGATCTGGGTCGTCTTCCAGGATAGGCGTGGATGGAGGCAAAGGGGTTTCCACGCGAGAGACGCTATCGTTGATGCTAGGGTCGATCGATGGTCGGATATCCAGGGAAGCTTTAAGGTCCTGGTTTTCGGAGCGCGCAGGCTCAGCGTCACCTCGAATGGGCGCCGACCAGTTCACCATAGATCTCAACGTCTCTACCAAAGCTTCGATAGATAACCGCTTGATCGCATACTCCTTGGGATAATCCGGCTCAGCTTCTTGGTTAGGAGCAATGTGAGCTACCGTCAGAGGAGGAGGAAGAGTCGTTTTGAGTTGCCATTCGCTCGCAGGGGTTGTCTTCAGCCGCATTTCTTCGTACACTTGCTCGTTGATCGTAGTAATAGTAAGCGGAGTCGTCGAGAACTTGGACAGGTCCTCGATGATGGTCTGGTAAATATTATCGACCGTCTGATCGCAGTCATAATTAAGGTAGATTTCGACCAATGCCTTAGGGTCGGCGCATAATCGGTTGAGAATTGTAACAAACTGAACTTTTTGTGACAACGGCGCAGTTCTTCGTGCAAGGAGCGCCAAGTAGATTTCGTTCAAGAATACCTCGATTTCTTTCTGCCAAGAGTCTCAGTAAGTGACAGTTTGCACTCCAGGAACAAACTTACCTTGAAATCAGCGCGCATGTACTTGACCATCAGCCAAAAGATCTCGCTGCTCACGTTGAATATCCTGTCAACTGAGCTAGCACCATTACGAGTAATACTTAGACAAAGATAGAATTTGATCGCCTGTAGGAAACTCGTAGGCTCGCCGCTCTTGGAATTCTTAATCGTACAAAAAGGAGAAGTGAAAACGGCGATATTGTTGTTAAGAAGTGTGTGAATTAGGTGAAGAGAAATAAGCTTGGAGCGCATAGGCTGACCACGGACGTCGTAAAGCTGATCAGGTGGTAGAACCTTGGTTGACAGGTTGCAGAAAGATCGAAAGACGAGATAAGCATCCCGGATGTAAACCTCGTCCTCGGCGTCCAGCACGTCACCATCCTCAGCAGGGGCAGGATCCTGGCCTGCCTGGTCAGAGACTGGAGTGTCAGTCTCCTTTCGGTCAGGCTTGAGCCGTGTGACCATGGTAGGTCCGTCGCCCAGGTTCGAATCGTCAAAGCTCTTACGATGCTCAAGATCTTTCAGGGTGAGCTTTGCGCCGCTCTCGGCAGGTTCGGTCGAGGAATTCGTGGCCTCGATAGTTTCGTCTGGCGACTCGTCGCGGTCGGGACTGTCGTTGGCACCATTGGCTGATTCGGCCTGGTCAAAAGTAACATTGCTAGAGCCATTCTTGAGGTGTTCGAGATTGAGACGGGCCTCCTTCATATGCAGTCTTGTCTTAACACGCTCAAAGACGGTACCAACCATCTGGGTCAAAGTACCCTGAGCAACCTGCTGGTTGGCTGTGCTTCGCGACAGCAGAAAGACATTGTATACTTGCCGCACGGCCTTGAGAAGACCAGCGCCATGGACTACGATCTTGTCATTGAGGACAGCTGCTAGCAAGGACTTGACAATCTGCAATTGGATCTCAACAGCGGTGGTTTCGCCTTGGAAGCAGTTGCAGATAGTATCGATAGCTCGCTCAATCAGGGGAGGAACGGGCTCAGCACCCTCTTCGGTCCCTTCGGAAGGGTTACTGGGCACGGAGAAGTATGAATAGGAAATAAGCTTTCCAATGCAGTCGAGAGCGGTTGTGGTAAGCTGGACGTTTGTAGAGCGTGATGCCAGTTGTAGAGGAGCGAAAACGATCTCGGGGTCAGGAAGCTGGTCCTGTTCCTTGATGGCGTCGAGTGCCTTGGTAGTGGTCTCTTCTAGTTGCTTGTTGCGCTGAGCATCCTTGGACGAGGCAATGGCCTCAAGCGAGGACACTACAAATTTGAGGGAGCTCATGGGGGAGCGCAGAGAAGGCCAGTGGCCATTCGGTAGGGGAATGGGTAGTCGAGAAGGTCGAGGTCGAAGGAGGGAGGTTGTGAGGTTTACGTCGATTCCTCAGGGCAATTAAAGAAAGGAGACGTGGATGCGGCGGGAAGAGGGAGCTAAAGCTCACCTATGCGCCGTAAGTTTAAAAGTCTCGGCGCAACGCTTTAGGTTCAGGAAATGCACTCACTGAGATGCTGAATGTCCAAACTGGTCAGCGGCCAGCAGAAAAGAATGATAGAAGAAGAAGAAAACAGCCTGTGTCTTGGTCTTGGTGATGTTGCCGTCAGCTTTCAAAAGCTGGTATACCCCAAGCACTACTAAGGTACAGCAATGTACCAGGGATACGAAGTCGAAGTGGACAGCGTTACCAGTGGAGGCCCCAGTTTCCCAAATTGAGCTCTGACTTGCGGGACCCTGAGCCCCAGATTGCCTCGTAAGCTGCCAATTAGCGTTTGGGGAAGGCAATAGTGTCTTTTGAGCCAGGTACTGATACGTTTGTTATACGGAGTGGAGATCAAGGAAATTCAAGTCCAATAGGGTAGATTCATCACTCACCAGCTCCAAGGTGTTCGCGATAATGGATATTTACTCTTCATTTATCTAGAAGATTTGTAAGACCATCTCAACCCTAGATACCTCAGTTGAAAGTATCCCATTAGATCTATATTTGCTCAGTAATCGCATCTTCTATGTAGCAGGATAGTCCCTTGCCAGTATTTGGTCTGGTATACAAATGCAGAGTCGTCAGGGAATCAGAAGAATTGGCCGTCGAGGTCATAAGAAACGAGACAAGCTGATCACCTTATGTCAGCTTAGAGTAGCACTTAGGCTACTTTATTCTGGTGGCCCAAGTCTTCGAGGAGCGTCATTCATCGTCGGCTTCATCCGCATCTGCACCATCTCCCTCTTGCCATCCTTCCCTGGGCTCTGCAGCTTTTGCCAGAAGGTTCCTCGTAACTTCTAACCGATATATTTGAGGCCCAAGCTCTTCGTCGTTTTTACGATGAGCCTCAATCCAAGTCCGTATCTGTCCTCGGACTTCCTTATTGCTCGTCACTGTTGTCAACTCCGCTGCCCAACCGTACACAAAGATAGACAGCTTTGAGCTCTTGAAGCCACTACTCAATGCAACGTCTTGAGCGACTTGGGGCAGTGTACCATTATTAATAGCAGCTGCCACAGCATCCATATCCCATGGTTCGCCGATGACAGCTACAGGAATCTGAACATTGGATGGTAATGGATGAATAGTGAGTTCCTGGAAACGTTCGCGAATGTGCTCTGAGGATATGCCTTGTGTGTCACTGCCACCCCAGGGGATCAACAGCCTGCCGCGTTCGCGTTCAGATTCAGTACCAACGGTTCGTAGTACATCGTGGAAATGCTCCGCTGCTTCCCGTGTGCAAACGAGCTCACGATCCGCCAAGACAGGATACAGCACCCGAGCCATAAGTCCACCTGCATACGAATTCTCTTCTTCTATCTGCGCACGCGTTGTCCGTGATTGCCATGGTTGAGGTTCAAGATCCAGATGCGTTAGGTCCGAGATGAGGTCAATGAGGATAGTGTGATCGAGATTAACCGTGGATGTAAGTGATGCAAGTTCATCTCCAACGAGGTTTCCAATGGCTATATCGAGTGGTGGACTGGGTGCGGTGACGAAATCGCTATCTTGAGTTTCGATGATGACTTCGACCAAAGAATCCGTGTGTTTCAATTGATGGAGGAGAATGTCCAGTTCCTCCTCTCCGCGGCTGAGACTAGCAAGAACGAGACGTATTCGGGGAAAACGATACTCGTGACGATTCATTCTTGCAGCTGTGACTAGCCGTTGCACATATATCGCCAGCGGCGTATCTTCCCACTCTTCTCGATCAACTTCATCGCCAAGTTCATGCTCACCCCATCCCCAGCCGCAGTCATTCATCTGGCGAGCCAGACGGTCGCGAGAAATGGCCTTGATAGCGATCCATTCCCGTCCACCTTCAACGACGTCAACCTCAACGCGACCCTGCTCCTTCAACAGACGATGCAAATTGTGTTTATCTTTTCCTGAAACCTGTCGCTTTTCAATCTCCAATTTTCGCGCATCTTTGGTCGACCCTTGGAAAGCTTGATTAATGGCGACAAAGTCATGGCTTTTCTTTAATCGATTCCATTGGGCGATGCTATGGGCTGTAAATGTAACGCTGGCATCAAGCTTTCGCTCTTGAGCTGTGAGTCGTTGAGAGTCAAAGACTTTTGTTTCCGATGAAAATTCCTCAATGAGCTTGCATAGCGCACAATTTTCTCGTTGCAAAGCCTTCAAGAACGTTGGCAGACCCGATGAGGATACAGGCCTTGACTTTGCTTCTAGGCCCTGGACGAATCGCTTAATCTCATGGATGTTGGTAACAAGAAGTGTCGAATGTGTCTTTGCCAAATTTAGTATCTTGGATCGGCGAACAGCCTCTGTGTCGTCGGTCATCATGCCTGTAACTGCCACAGGCCTGCTCATCTGACAACATACCCCAGTGCAAGAATATGCATTGATGATCTAGACATATGATATTCGCCTCGAGTCCAATATGTCTCTGGCCGATTTATAGGCTTCCGTCGGGGGAACTGGTGCGAGTGGACAAAAAAAAAAAAAAA